TTAGGCAAATTATTTCAGGTCGGTGCTGACCTTCGTGTAGTACATACATACTTTCTCCGAATAAATAAACTATTATTTTAATATTTCATAATGGGTAACACGCTGAACAAAGATCAGTTCGTTGTCGCCCAGTCCGAAGCGGTGATGAAGGAGACAATAGTGCGATCATAAATTGGTTGGACTGTTGCGATTTTCGTGATAACCGTTATGATCCTGTATTTCTTCTGCCGTTATGGGACAGCCCAGGTTAAAAAGTGGATGTGGAAGCAAATGGGATTCGCGCAGAAACAAACCTTGCAAATGACTCAAGTTGCCAGAGTCAGCTCACGAAGAGCTCACGATGTGCCCAAATCGCCGACTAAAATTGAAATTTGTTAATGGGTTGCGTTAACCGTGTTTGGCGATATCAGATGTACTGTTTGGTTTGTCTAGCTTGTAAATAGTGTTTAAGCAAATTCAAAATTTGATGTACTACTCTTGGCAATTAAATTTATTTTAACTATAGCGAATTAAAATGTGTAATATACCTATGTTTTAATTTTGTAGCATTTGCAATTCGTTGTTAATATTAATTGCATGTAGGTCGAGCGTCGATGACTGCTGACGCTACAAATGTAATCCCCAGTGTTGAGACATATGATACCAAATGTTTGTGCATTACAAGTGATAAGCATTACGTTGTCACCCGGTTCTGTCTATACCTAATTGTTTTTATATTCAAAATTTATTGTATTTGTATCTTAAAAACTAAATCTTGTACCTACCTACCTAAACTACCTATAGTACCTATGTAACTGAATTTCAATTGTGTGAGTCAGTAGCAATGTGGTCGGCACTGTTGTAACACGTGTGTATGTAATAAACTGCTTTATTACATACACACGTGTTCCAACTGAAGGGTTTTATCTCATTTCTATCACACTAAACGGACAATAGTTAAACTGAATTGGCCTCTAAGAAGCTTGGCGTGCTCAACTGACAGGGACAGTATTTTATGCCGGCACACTGCTTGCGACTTTACAAGGGGCGGGTTCGGCCTAACATGGAATACTGTTCTCATCCCTGGGCCGCTTCCTAGTACCAGCTCCTTCCACTTGACCGAATTCAGCGCAGAGCTGCTCGTCCGAATCGTCGACAACCGACGAGGACGAAAGACGAGACGAAGAAATCTCTTTGCATTTTCTTTCGCATTTACCACGGGGAGTGTTCAGAGGAATTGTTCGGATTAATTCTAGCCACAGATTTTCATCAACGCATTTCACAAATCCACATCGTTGGAATGTTTGGCGGTCCACTACTGTCGGACCGATATGACTTAGGGAGCTTCAAGAAACGAGCTTACTTCTTTTCAAAAAGCCGGCAACGCGCCCTTGGTGTTGTATTTGTTAATAGATGGTGGTCGACACTTGCCATCAGAGGAGCCGCATGCTTCTTTGTCCCACTTTTCTATATAAAAAAGACAATAAAACGAAGTAGACAATTATTTTTAACAATGTTATATTTATGTTCTGAAAGTGGGAGTAATTTTTGTGATTTCAGTTCGACCCGTTCGCGGTCAGGAACCAAAAAGTAAAAATTCGAAAATTCTTTATACAACTAGGGTAGTACATAATTTTTCGAACGTCGTTCTTGGAGGCCGAGGGGCCCATTTAACTTGGGGGGCCCCGGGGCACTGCCCCGCCTAGACAAAGTACGTGCCACGGTTATTATACTTAGTTGGGTCATAAGTTCTGTCAATAATTATTTAAATTTTATTTATTATTTAAAATTCTTGAATACTGGCTAGATGAACTTCACAAATTTTAAAGATATATCGTTTGCGCTTGCCGAAAATACCACACTCCATATTTTAAAATGACATTAATTTTTATTCATTTTGAAATATGGAGTTGTCGAAGAAAGAAGATTATCGCGTTGCACCGCTGTGGTTACGCGCCAAAACAGATTTTCAATATTCTACAAAAATTAAAACTAACCCTACGATTTGTTTATCGCACTATCAAACGATTCACTGAAGATTCAAGGACCGGCCGACCTCGTACAGTTAAGACACCCGCGATCATCAAAGCAGTGAAGGCGCGAATGCAACGAAATTCTGTTCGTAAACAAAAAAATTAGCACTTCAGATGGGCCTAAGCAGTACCACGGTCAATGAAGACCTAGGACTACGAGTTTAAGTTTCGTAAGAAGACCGGACAGTTTTTGAACGAGCGGTTGAAAAAATTAGGCAGGATAGATCCAGCGCTCTGTTACGACGTTACGCGGGAAAAAAATACCGCAAAATTTTGTTTTCGGATGAAAAAATTTTTAACATCGAAGAAAGTTATAATAAAAAAAATTATAAGGTATATATATATATATATATATAAAATGATAGGTACACATATGCCCACAGCAGTGAAGAAGCCAGCACGCGTATTCCGAGGGTTTAACGAGCACATTAGCCTTCGTCACTCATGGTTTGGCTTGGAGTCTCATATTCAGCCTTAACTGAGGTGTTTTTCTGTGAAAAAGGTGTAAAAACCAGTGCCAAGGTGTACCAAAATACCGTCCTAACAAACATAGTGGACCCTCTTTCTCAAACAATGTTCAAAACAGACATTGGATATTCCAACAGGACTCGCACCAGTTCATAGACCGCCCATGGAATTGACTTTATCGGACATGAAGACTGGCCCTCTTCTAGTCCAGATTTAAGCCCATTGGATTATAAGATATATAAGAGAAAGTCTGCGCTAAACTTCATAAGAATTTGGAATCTCTCCGAGTACCTTTGGCTAAAGCAGCGGCAGAAATAGATATGAGTGTGGTGCGTGCTGCGATTGATGATTGGCCGCGTCGATTAAGGGCATGTATTCAAAATAGGGGAGGGCATTTTGAATAATGTAAATAAAAATGTATTCTAAATTAAATTACCTTTCATTTCATATATAACTTCTATATAATTATTAAAAAGTGTATCATTAATTTTCCGATGTAAAAATCCGGTGTCCATTAAACAACCACAAATAAATAAAATATTTCAAAGAGATATTTGGATTTGGATGTATACAGTTATTATTTATTATTACCATGATTGTGCGAAATTCCTCATTATTCGACTACGTTTTTGTTGTAAGGTTTCAGATAAAACTTCTATTAACGTTCTTTGATAAAAAATAAGTATAACGTCATATGCAGAAAGAGTTCAATCAACTATACACAGGATTTTTTTCTTATTTAAGGATTCCCTCTATGCTAGTAATTACTGTGCGCTATTCTAGCTATTAATAAAATAAAAATTCTAGTCTAAGTGACATTTGATTTTAAATAATATTAACTAACAATTTTTAATATATTTTTCTGCTAACATTAAAAACACTATTTTACTATAACTAATTTTACTTTCTAATATTGTTGTAAGTTAGACGTCTTTAAATTTTATTAAACTTTAATAAATTTTCAAAATTTAATTTTACTTATACTATGTAGTAGTAACTAGGTGATGTTATATGGGAATAATTAAAATGAAGAATTAGAGGTAGTGTACCTAATTTTAATATTTAAAAAAATTTATACCAGGGTTTAATTTTTCAGATGACAGAAAATAGCAAAGCACTTTAAATTGATAAAATTGATATAGCCATTCTACAAAGTACCCATTCTGAGATAATTTTCTTATTTGTAATCATTGAGTTATATGTACTACGTACTAGAGAAGCCATTCCAAACAAAAATTGTGTCCTACTCTATGTCTTCGCGCATGCGCGGGAGTAGTAGTCGCGCATGCGGGAATACTTCCATTTGATATAAAATAAGATATTAATATAAAATAAATATAAGAATTTAATATGAAATATCTTAATTTAATATAAACAAACATATTTCTAAATAAAATGTAATAATAATTATTTTATGGAATTCACAAATCTTCAATTTACGCAATATTTAGTTTGTATGGATTGCACTACAGTTCAGTTGAACATAGTCAATGTTCGGAATGGCTTCTCTAGTACGTAGTACATATAACTCAATGTTTGTAATATTTTCGTAAATAAAATAATTTTTATTAAGATCCAATAAAAATTATTTATATCCCTAAATTTAATGAAAATATTAAATCAGAATGGCAAAAATAAATAAAAAATATTATGACGATTTCAAATAAAACCGTTTAGGCTTATGACTATTGTTATGTTTATTACCCTCTATCTCCGATATATGTAATTGCCGAATATAATCGAGGTAACAGTGCACTTGATGATAAGTAGCTATTGATGCCAATCCCACCCAGAAACAAAAAGAGCAAGTGATACGTTTCCACCTCTAACGCCGTTAGCACAAACACAATGACGCAGCGAACCGCGGTAGCAAAACGTGTTCCTACACGAAAAAGCGAAATTTAAGCGGTCGTTTTCATACAAATTTCACCATTTCGCATTTTTTCTCAGTGCAACATGCCGTCTGAACCAGACTGGTCTCTTTCAGAATCTGAAGAAGAAGAATTATTCCTTCTTGTATCGACATTAAGAAAAAGAGGAATGAGTTATAATTCTGGATAACCTCGAATTTCATTAATAATTTTTTCAGTTTCTGTATTCATCATCTTGTTTCGCCGCAACATTCTGTCAAATTTGACAAACAACGTCATTTCCTTCCGTCCGTGTGAAAGTCGCGAGTAAAAGCAATACTATACAGACAGAGATGCAACTTTAGGATATCACAGATACATAGAGCGAGATGCAACGTACGCAATTTTTCTTGGGGACAGATTTACCGGTTTACCGCAGTGTCGCTACCGCGGTTCGCCGGAGTGAGAACTAAGATTGATTGAATGACTCACAACCTGTAACCTCTACCTAAACCCAAACTTAACTGGGGTTTACTCATAGGCGCACTACTGCCAATCAGCAAAATATAAAAATGATTTACGTTAACATATTTCCATACAGAACTAAAACAATCCGACGTCCCTTTTGTATATAAAATTTGATTTGATAATATAATTGTCTTAATTTCAGTACCTGATAAGTGTCCGTCCATTATTAGATGATGAAAACTATAAGCGTGTGGAAAGGTTAGCAAAAGAATTCGAAGAGACCATAGCAGTGAAATTACAACGATTCCTCATTCTGAAGTCATGGTAATGTGATAGCGACAAGTCATGTTCGCTACTTTGATTATAAAAATATAATTTCCTATCATATTATTATTTTTGACAACGGTGTTGGTTATGGTCGTGTCTAAGATTTGTCTTAGGTATTGGGCTCAATCCTAACCCAATATTTGTGCACACTTCTTTTCATTTTGGGTTTGTTCGTGTTGTTGCAACTTAATTTACCTAACTTATTGTTTTTGGGTTACCTGTGGCACGGGTTTAGGGGGAGGGTGTATAACTTACAGTTAGCACTAACATAATATTCTGCACAGTTGATAATTTAAAAAAAAATTGAAGTCTATATTGTAAAGAAAAATATTTACATAATTTGTAACTGCAAATATATACATACAGCAAAATTAATCAAAAATACAATTTGCATGACACTATCGGAGATGGTATGTAATTGATATGCACATCAAAACTAAAAATGTGTTTCCGCAATAATGTCGCATATTATATATTTTTATGTGTATTGTAAGTGTACTTGTTAAATAAATATACAAATAAAGCTGTCGGCTGTCACCCAGGCCAATTTGTGTTCATGAGCATGCACAGAGAGCTGCAGGAGAAAAATACTATTTTCGTATTCTAGGTGGTCGAGTAACTATGTATCAGATTGGTGGGAGGAGTATGTATATCTTCGTGGACGATCTCCCCTAATGGTCAACTCCAACTTCTATGGAACTGATGCTATACTCCTTAGACCCACCACTAGCCAAGCGGCAAGGGCTGGAGCTATCATTCATTTCTGCCTTCAGTTCCGTCGACTCATCGAAAGGCAGGAATTGGAACCGGTATGTTTTTTACTTACTCTACCAATTAAATTCATTTAAGTACTTAATTTACCATAATAATTTAAAAAAAATGTGTCTGTAATTACTTTGTATTTAGCAGTTATTTTATCTAGTATCAATGCATTATTATAATGATAATTGCTACATTGTTATAATCTGTGAAATACATGTAACGGAAAATATCCGAATAGATTTGTTTATTGGATTGAATAGGAAAGAAAATTTAAAATCTCATAATATTATTTTTCAACAATCAGTGATAAATAAAATTTTCTCAAACATGAAATCTATAATATAGATAAACCTGGAATGTAGAACATTATCTAAATATAAAGTAATTAAATGTGTACACATACAGTATAGTATGTATAATGTATGTACAAAAATTGCTTACTTAAATTATAAGATATATCTTTGTCAGAAACATTTTGGAAGTTGTGAATAATTATTTCCAGATAATGCTTCAAAATATGGTGCCCTTATGCTCGTGGCAATACGAGCGTCTATTTAATACGGTACGAGTGCCAGGTGTTGAAACCGACAAGTTGGTCCACTACCAGGATTCCACTCACGTCACCGTGTACCACAAGGGGCGCTATTTCAAACTCATGGTCTACTCCAGAGGGCGCCTTCTTAGGCCCGTTGAAATACAAGCGTGAGTTTCCTTTTATTAAGTGTTTTTTTTTTTTTCATAAAATATGATAGCGATAAAATAAAAGATTTAGTTATTAATATTTTTAAAATTAATATTTATTTATCTATAAAATTATTCGCACACGTACAAATAGTAAATTAGCCCGTGAATTCGTCTGCGTGAGCTTAAAAAAAACCTGCGGTTCTATAATAGTGAACTTTTGGCAAGTAGTTAAATTATCTAGAAACTACTTTAAACTCAGTGTTTTTGGTATTATCTCGAAAACGATATGGGAAAATGGTTATAATAGAACGTTTCCTCGAAACTTTTCTTTATACCTCTTAGAAGTGAGAGGAGGCCTGTGACCAACAGAAAAAAAGTTAGTTACAGCCTATGTATGTCCTGCGAAGCTGTAAGTAACTTTTTATTCATTATACCTCTTTTAGTTTATGCAGCTGGCTGTGAACATTATAATACCCTATCTAATTACGTTGACTAAAGCATGCGCCATAAATATCTCTCAGCTTGCGACTAGTGTTTGGAAAGTGTTGACTGTTGACATTACAATGGATATTCCTAATCAATCTATTTTCCAATCAAAGTTCCGAGATTTCTGGCGATCTTTTGAGGACGGAAGGATAAACTGGCGTTTTCCAGTTGATTCCATCAGATTTCTAGGTTAGAAATGTAATTGAGGCTTGTAATTTTTAGGAAATATCGTGATAATCGTAGGTGCACCCCTTACCTATTTCTGCTGCCAAATATCAGTACTTGCATTGTTGTGTCCTTGTTTGAGGGGTATTAAGGGTCAGTATAATTATGAGTACGTGCTGATAGGCTTTCCATCTTAGTCCCCAGCGGTGACAACTTTGAGGGGTATTAGAAGCCAGTATACGCGGGCGACACTGAAAGTTTTTAGAACTGGTCACTTGTAAACTATATAATAAAAAAATAAGTTGCAATTTTGAAAATGGAACTCTTTGCCAATATTATTGTGATTTATTAATTTGTCATTTCTTTACGACTTGGCGGCAAATTGAAAGTTATCTGTGTGACGTCAGCATGAATTTAACGCGAGAAAATTTTCGTACAAAATTTTTTTAAAACTTTCGATGTCATTTAAGTAAACAAAAAAGTTATGATAAATTTCAATTGGCCTTTCACGCTGAATTCCCATCTCGTGCCATTGTTTACAACTGGTTTAATGAGTTTAAACGTGGTCGCACTAATCTTACCGATGATCTGCGTGAGGGACGGCCTTCTACGGCGACGACTGAAGATAACATCAGTGTTGTGCGACGTATGATAGAGACTGACAAAAGAGTGACTTATCAGCAGATTCGGACAAGCTTAGGCATCGGTATGAGTCAAGTGCACAAAATCCTCAATGAACATTTTTAGCGGTCAGAAAGCTTCGTGCCCGGTAGATAAAAACTCCGTCGTGTTGATTGGTGTCGTGAAATGGTTCAAAGATTTAACGGAGGTGACTTAGTTTATATAATAATATAGTTCGACATACTTAAGGGTGACGAAAGCTGGATTTATTGTTATGATCCTGAAACTAAGAGACAATCTGCTGTCTGGGTGTTTCCTTCCAAGGAGTTGCCAACTAAAGTGAAGAGAGTTCGAAGCGTGGGAAAAAAGATGGTGGCCTCGTTCTTCGGAAGGACAGGTCATTACGCAACAATTGTTTTACAGGATCGAAAAACAGTTACTGCAGAGTGGTACACTAACAGTTGTTTGCCACTTATCTTGGAAAAAGTTCGGGAGAAACGACCTCGCAGTAGGATCCTCCTTCACTACGACAACGTCTCGTCGCGCACCGTCAAGCAAACAATCGTCTACTTGGCGACGTCAGACGTGGAATTACTGGGTCACCCCTTATATAGCACCTTACGATTTTTATTTATTTCCGAAAATAAAAGAAAAACTTCGAGAAATTCGTTTTATGAACGCCGAGGAATCAGTGACTGCGTTTCAAGATGCCGTCGAAGAGACCCCTAAGGACGAGTGGGCAAAGTGCTTTTCTCTGTGGTTCCATCAGATGCAGCGATGTATTGATGTAAATAGACACTGTTTTGAAAAGATATAATAAAACTAATAAGTTGCTAGTTTGTGCAGTTTTTGATTTTCTAAGAACTTTCAGTGTCACCCTCGTATTTATGAGTACATGCTGTTAGGTATTCCATCTTAGTCCCCAGCGGTGACAACGCATGTGTAGCCTTCTTTGAATGAAGTTAGCTGCAGGTGTCCCATGGTCTGCATTTGCCATTTACGATCAGGTAGACTGTAAGTTCGTTTGTCACTTCAATATTGTAAAAAAATCTTGATATGCCACGCATTTTTAACAGGATTCTACAACTATATGTTATCACTAACTGTTGAAAAAGATACGATAGCAAGAATCCTCGTGACATATCATTTACTATTTAAAAACAATCTGATAAAAACAAACCCACAACAAGGCCATGGAAACCAATACGCAAGAGTTCTATTACGTAGCGTAAGTCGTAAGCCTACACGTGTTCGCGGTTCGTGTAGTGCAAAAAAACTGAAGCGAAAAATAAATATGCACTTTTCTAAATATATTTACTATGCGTACAATATTGTCTTGATACGATAAGATTGTTCATTTAAAACAATGTAATTTTTACTCATTATAGGAGGTTCCACTGTCATACCTATGGAACACCTATAATTTCGATTGATCCGTTCAACTTTTCATTTAAATAAAGAAAGAAACATTTAATCACCCCTACAACATTTCAAAAAACTAAACAAACAAGTTACTATTTATAGTTATATGTTTTGTTGCATACACATACAAATGCATTTTCTGTCCCACCTAATATATAATATTTTTATGAAAATCACAGCCAAATTTCCAGTTCTGTATAATATGTTGAGCTAAAATATATCATATTATCAAATAGATTTAAATATAGCATAGTGTGTAAATAAAGAAGTGAAGTAGTTGCAATGAAGTAGTGAAAAAAAGTAGGCATGCAATTTAGAGGCATAAACTACATAAAATCTACTACATACAAAAGTATTAGAGACAAGTGTTACTAAACAAATTGGGTACCTGAAGATAACTAATTATACTAATGCTCGGCACACACGGTCAGTTAAATTGATCAATTGAACTGACCAAAAATATCCAAAAACTGACCGTGTGTGAAATCTTAAGCTGAAATTTTTAACTGAGCAACTCACGGATTTTACGGGCCGCATGGTCAGTTAACCGGTTCATTGCGAGTGACATGCCAGGCGTGCCATCGATTACTTTTTAAAAGTCGTGTCTTTTTAAAAATCGTTATAACTCGCTCAAATTGCTTTTTTGAAAAATGTATCCAGAACAAAATATTCATTATTTTGCGAGTAGTTCATGCATGCAGCTTCGTTTCTGGATATTTTGAAAATTTGAAATTTTTAGGGGTTGACAACCTTTTTTTAACGTGTACATGATACTATTTTTACTTTGTGGGTTTTAAATCATGTTATGGTAAAATTGTCTAATAAGTAGCAAATAATAACACTCATTGCGATCGCTCACAAACTCAAGTTGTAATTAAATTTCTGGAAAACAAGTCTCCTGTTAAAAAAACAATGTGTTTGTCTTATTGTTTAATTTTGCTTAAAATGGTTGAACTGCCGTCTTATTACTATCATATGGCCAAATAGACCTACGAAGTACCATGTGCTCTTGTGATATGGTATAAGGTTTATTTTTGCTTGAAACAGTTCGAAACCGTTAATGCATAAAAAATGTTAACAAATAGTCTTAACAATAGACAAAAGCTAATAAATAGTCTTTTGTCAATCCGCCGCCGTATAGCGCCGGCGTTTTTTTCCTTTTGAAAACACTTGTTTTGCTATTCTTACTAATTAGACGTTTTCAGATCTACTTTACTTTTACATTTGTATAACATTAAATAATATTTAACATTTGTAAATATCAATGAACGATATACCTTTTTTTTTCAAATTAAGGTTCTTCATTGTTTGATATTTACAAATGTTATTATTAGGTGAAAATTTAATTTAATAAAAACCAAGGTTTCCAGCGTGATTTAGCTGTACCTACTTATATAAATGATCTTTTTATAACAACAAAAAATAGTACAAAAGGTTTGTAATCTCTTCGTAAAAAAGTCACTTTCTCTCAATTTCAAAGAAAACGCGTAAAAAAACACGTAGTTACCCACTAAAAACAAGTATCCTTCCATTTGTAACTTATGTTTGATGTCAAATAAACTTAATTGGGTCTAAACAAGTAAAAAAAGCATAAAAAAGAACATTACTTTTACACATGGCGGATGGCACATGTCTGTGGCGCTTGACACGCCCGGCGTGTCAGCCGCCACAGCTAGAAGTTGTCGAAAATTGGTGCCGCAACGAATCGGTTAAACTGACATACATCCAAAAGCTGAACATGAGTGTGAAATTTTAAGTTGTAATTTGAAGCCAGTGAGTACGGAAATCGTTTTAGCTTACAATTGTTTTGACTGATCAGTCGAACTGATCACTTTAACTGACCGTCTGTGTCTAGTTATACACTAGTGAAAGACCCAATCATACCAGTAAGCTATGAAGTGGCAGTATCCCGCAATAACCATTTCTTAATGTATATCTTAAAAGTGCTTTTAGACATAGGGTTTTTCATTGGTGGTTGAAGATTATTTCGGCACTTGATGATCTGATATTATTTGATATATTAGTGCCACAGCATTATAACATGCTGAGTTTTGACCACATTATATAAAAAGTTGACCATGAACCCACCACATATCACCCGTGGGTGTCGTAAGAGGCGACAGAGGGAAAGAAACCAGGAGATGGGCAGCGTAATATACTTCTTAGTTACATCTAATAAAATAAAACCAGGAGGGTTGGCAACCGCAGTTTAATCTATTTCTTTAATAGTTGGCTCTTGATAGGCTGTAAGGGTATATAAAAGAAGTAAATATAAAAGAATATAAAAGAGTATAATACAAATATATAATTTGAATTTTAAGCAATTTGTGAAGACAAATAATTTTAAATCTTGATAAGTTATTGTACATTCATATTTATAAAGTATCTTATATGTCTTTCGTGTATGTAAAGTTTGAAATGAATCTAAATATACTAACATGCTGATAGTTTTTGAATTGATTGAACGCTTCCTTGTTTGACCAATCTTATCTTATCATGTATGCTATGAAAAATACGGGCATGTTACGCCGTTATATTGTAAAATACGAAAAATTAATAGAGTATTATAATCTATCTTCTATACATATAAAACTCAAACACGACATCTGTCTGAACACGCAACACGCAAAAACCTGTGAACCGATTTGGATGGGACTTTCACTGGCAGATAGCTGATGTTATAAGGAGTAACTCAGGCTACTTTTATTTTAGGAAAAGAATTAGGGTTCCGCGCAAAAAAAAATTAAATACCGGTGAAATCCAATTCCACGCGGGTGAATTCGTGGGAAATAACTGGTAATTTATAAATTCAATGCAGATTCAACATTCTATTCCAAAATTGAATAGAATGTTGGCTAAGTGCTCACATTTCTAGAATTTAACTTACATTATATAATGCCCGCACCGCTTGCTAATAGTTCTATTTATGCCAACACCTGTTCTTGGGATGGTCACAAATTACAAAAACAAAACACTAAAAGTTTTGGACAAAACAATAAGGCTTTTGATATTAAATCGTTGTTCTTCCCTAACACAACGCCAATGTGTTTTTGCACACAAAAAATATTATTATTACTCATTTTTTATGTATATATATATATACATATATATATATATATATATATATATATATATATATATATATATATATATATATATAGCCATGCATTCCTCCAAAACCCAATATACGGTGTTAATGGGAGACTTCAATGCAAAACTAGGCACAAGAGAGAACGGTGAGCTGAAAGTAGGGAAATTTGGAATAGGGCAACGAAACCCAAGGGGCCAGCAGCTGGCCGACTTCATGGAGAAAGAGGGACTCTTTATGATGAACTCTTTCTTCCAGAAGCGGCCCCACAGGAAGTGGACCTGGTCAGGCCCCGACGGTTCAACAAAAAATGAGATTGACTTCATTATGACGACCAGACGACAACTGTTCAGTAATGTCTCCGTGATCGCAAGGGTGAAAACTGGTAGCGATCACAGTGTGATATATATATATATATATATATATATATATAACACTGCATGCGAATTCTGCTTATCGCCTTGGAACAGTGCGGTCCAACATATGGTTCGATAGGTCATAAAATAAAAGGAAACAATAAATAAAATAAAATATAAGTAAACAAATAATATATTCTCAATTAAACAGAAGCTCTTAACAGGGGGCCCTAAGGCAAAACCCTTACAGATACAGCCTATTAAAACTCCACTGCTCATAGACCTCCCATAGATTGCCTCATGCGGGGATTTGTCATAGTAGCCATGCTTGGTGGGCGGGTTGGCAACCATTTTGTATTTATTTTTGTTATTATTAGGAAAATGCTGCTGACCATCTTCTGTTTTGTTTTCCACTGTTGCCTTTGACGACACCCACGGGACGATTTTTTTTTTAGAATATGGGTGACACAGTCTACTTAATGATGAATGGACGCTGTGGGCCATAAGCATCCACATCTATTCACGATGAAAAATCAAAATGCAGATGCGTTGCTACCCCTGAGGACTAAGATGGAATGGCTCATTTCCAGTAAAAAGGATCTCCGGCTCTCAACATTCACCATACGAAACACAGCAGCATTGAGCTGCTATTACGCTGGTATTCTGTGAAAGCGTGGTTCTTCCTCGGTCGAGCCGACCCCTTCATGCTACAACCATAACATAGCTACAGCATGGCTCTACCACGTAAAACATTCTTATCCCCCACTACACGTTTGAGTGCGGCTGCCAAGGCCTAAGAAGAAAAGATAGGGCAGTATTGTGGAGCGCTGCATTTCGAATTTGTGTTACTTTTATTTATTATTATCGACAGGCAAATTCAACAAATCCTGGACGACAAATCTCAGCCAGTGATAGGGGAGGAACGCCTGGCTGCACTAACGGCTGGTGAACGATCTCACTGGGCACACATACGACAGACCATGTTCAATCGTGGCCACAATCGCACCTCGTTACACTGCATCGAACGCGCTGCTTTCAATGTCTGCTTAGGTTAGTAATAACTTTAAATAAGTCGCTTCTGGCATGACTTACGTAACAAAGATGTTATATTTTTATAGCATAATTGTATAACTTCTGAGAATTAAAAGCCAGGTTTGTAAAATTGACATTGTTTGTTGAGATTTAACACACTCATGTATTCACTATAAATAACTTTACCGAGTAGTAAGATAAGGGTGACAAACGAGCACACAGTCTACCTGATGGTAAGTGGCTGCTGTGGCCCATAGACATCTTCATCTTATCCTGGATTACGACTCAAAATGCATGTGCCTTGTCACTCCTGAGGACTGAGAAGGAATGCCTTATTTTCAGTAAAAAGGGTCCCCTGTTCTCTACACTCACCATACGAAACAGCAGCATTTAAGCTGCTATTTCGTACCGACCCATTCACGCTACAACCATAACACATTATATTATTACAGACGACAAAGATTATGGCTATGATGAAAACGATCCAAGCAGTTTGGACGAATATGGCCGCATATTGCTGCATGGACAAGGGCACGACCGCTGGTTCGACAAGTCTTTCAACCTTTGCTTCAGTAAAAATGGTTTTGTAAGTTAATGTAAAAATATATGCTTTTATTTGGTAATCATAATCAAGCTATTTCTAATGTTATTTGTATGATTGTAAACTGTTCTTTTTTCAATAAAAATGTCCCTCTGGATTTCTAGCTGATTCTTTCCAAGACCAGTATTTTCCGAACCAGTGGTAAACATAAGGAATGACTTTGAAAAAAGAATATTTATAATCTATATTGAATTAAAATTCTAGTGCTATATCTATTTCATGTTTTTATTTGGACAACATAATTTATAATATATACAAATTTGAATAAATCAAAAAAATTGTTACAGGTTGGATTTAATGCGGAACACACCTGGTGAGCTACTTAATACTTGGTGTTACTTATTTTATAAGCAAATTTTTCGCGAAATTATTTTTAATATTTAATATATTGTAAACTTAACTATGCAGTGGCGATTTAAAAATCTTACCTCTATATGGATATGCTGAACCAGGAGATAGGCTGGAGCATCTTCCCCATAACAGCTGTATAAAATAAGAAAGCTGCAATTGCCAGTTTTTGCTAAGCGTTGTATAAGTCTGTTCGCTAAGATAATGTCGGTACACCCGGAGGCGCGCTTATTATTTTGAATTTATTTTATTATTTTTACTGTGTTTGTTAAATAAATCTTTTTCTATTCTAAGAATAAAATAGAATATGTTATTCTTATGGTTACTGTAGTAAAATATGAATATAAATAATAAAAACAAGTTAGGTAGGCGCTTCGTCACAGAATCAATAATAGTACTAACGTACAGAAGTTGCACTCTTTTGATGTTGACTGCTTGCCGACGTTTTAATAGCCTACATAGTTATTATTAATCAGATAAATCGCGCACGCAAGCTAAATGAAACTTTATCGCTGCGTGCGATTGTTCGTATTACTTTGCATCTTTTCTCCTTACTAATTCACGATGGACTTTCCGTGGTTGCCAGGGATTGAAAACGGTTCCAAAATACCGGTATAGAACAGGTATTTAGGGGTTTCGGTACCTATACCGGAACAGGAACCAGAACCTAAATTGGAACCTTTAAGAACCTTTATGTGAACAGCGTGATGCGGCGCGCGGCGAAGTGTCAAGAGAGGGGAGTTTGTAAAACATCACATTTGTATTGGTGGATCTTCTGTTGCATATCAACACAGCGTTGCCAACTCTACAGATTTTTCCGTAGATATACGGAATTTTGTCATCATCTACGGAACTACGGAATTTGAAGTTGCAATATACGGAATTATTATAAACTTTTTTTATTATGAGTGTGAACTTGCCGACAATGTCATTCTCTCTCTCTTCTTCTATGTTGTCTGTATTAAATTATATTTAATAATTAATTCTATGCTATCTGTATTAAACATCACATTTGTAAAAATAAAACCATTCTTGCTCATAAATATCAAATTTTTGTGAGGTTAATCGATTTCAAATTTTAATAGCTTTGATATTTTGCATTAAATTACGTTTATTTCGAATTTAGAACACTTCTTCGAAAATAGGCAGTTAATATAAGCGCTTTAACTTTTCTTACAGACCCGTCCAACTACAGGCCTATCGCCATCACCTCCTTGTTCTCCAAAATAATGAAATCCATTATAAACTGCCAGCTCATGAGGTGCCTTGAGGATCACCAGCTGATTAGTGACCGCCAGTACGGTTTTCGTCGGGGTCGATCAGCTGGTGATCTTCTGGTCTACCTGACTCATAGATGGGCGGAGACAATAGAGTCCAAGGGGGAGGCATTGGCCGTTAGTTTGGACATAGCGAGGGCCTTCGATCGGGTCTGGCACAAAGCGCTTCTTTCGAAGCTCCCTTCCTATGGGCTTCCCGAGAAATTGTGCAAATGAATCACCAGTTTCCTTGCTGATCGAAGCATCAAGGTCGTAGTTGACGGTGCATGCTCTGATTTCAAGCCTATCAACGCTGGTGTTCCACAAGGCTGCGTGCTATCACCAACGCTATTTCTCCTGCATATCAATGATATGTTGCAAACAGGTAACATTCATTGCTATGCAGACGACAGCGCTGGTGATGCCTTATATACCGGCCGTGCCAATATTTCTCGGGAAAACGTCGCCGAGTACCGGAACAAACTTGTGTCTGAAGTCGAGTCTTTGCTGAACAAAGTCTCGGATTGGGGGCGACTAAATCTAGTCCAGTTTAATCCTCAGAAGACACAAGTTTGCGCGTTTACCGCTAAAAAGACCCCCTTCTTCTCAGTTTCAAGGTACTCCCCTTGTTGCCTCAGCCAGAATCGGAATCCTCGGAGTCGACATATCGACTGACGTGCAGTTTCGTGGTCACTTGGAAGAGAAGGCCAAATTGGCCTCTAAAAAGCTTGGCGTGCTCAGCAGACAGAGCGGGATAGTATTTCATGCCGGCACACCGCCTGCAACTTTACAAGGCGCAGGTTCAGCCTCACATGGAATACTGTTACCATCTCTGGGCAGGGGCTCCCCAGTGCCAGCTCGTTCCACTTGACCGCATCCAGCGCAGAGCGGCTCGAATCGTCGACGACCGAGTCCTTCCCGATCGGCTCGATTCATTGGCACTGCGAAGAGATGTTACATCCCTTTGCATTTTCTTTCGCATCTATCACGGGGAGTGCTCTGAGGAATTTTTCGGATTAATCCCAGCCGCCAAATTTCACGAATGCCGCCAAATTTCGCGGCAGAATTCCCGATACCATCCACACCATCTGGATGATTGGCGGTCCACCACTTTGCGATTTAGAAGATGTTTTCTTCCTCGCACGACTTCCTTGTGGAATCGATTACCATCAGCGATTTTTCCGAACCGATACGACTTAGGGACCTTCAAGAAAAGAGCGTACTCCTTTTTAAAAGGCCGGCAACGCATCTGCAATCCCCTCCCTGGTGTAGCAGTTGTTCATAGGCGGCGGTAGTCACTTACCATCAGGTGAGCCGCATGGTCGTTTGCCCCCTCTCCTATAAAAAAAAAAACCCGAAATACGATTCCTAACAGAAATATGATCGTAATCTACTTAGTTGAAAATCTTGTAAACAAAGTTTTAAATTCAGTATTTTGTGATATTATAACTTAAAATATTTTAATTAGAAAGACGAGTATAGGTATGTAAGTAGGTACTTGGTAATGAAGTACCTAAAGAGCAATGGCAGACTTTCATACATAAAATTAGTTGAGAAGAAATGGTAGCGTCTATATACCAAAAATATCTTAAAATGTTAAGCGTCAGTCCCTTAATAACTCTGTCAAAGAATTTTTTACTGAAAAGGTGTCAAAAAAAGATATTTACGTTTGAACTTTTTAGGTTATGTCCTATGGTACTTGGAAAAAGTCATGTTTCCTGTGTTTGTTTGATGTTAGCTTAATACATAATACATAATTGAGAGTTTTTAGATTATTGTATCTCTATTATATATTTGCATACTATAAATGTATATTTCTGGCATGGCTCCAGGGCTTTTGTACCATAGTGACATTCTCAGAAGGGCTAGAACCCAGAGCCGTAAAGCCAGTAAAAAAAAATAGTGACATTTTATTTTAGCTAGTGTTGGCATAACATTAAATGGAATTATTACATAGTACTATGATTGAGATAATATATTATTGTAGGAAATTCTTTGTAAGAGACTTATTCTCAGCCATATCACTTTTATTTTTGTTATTACTGATAGTACAGTTATTACTAATAATAACTTAATATAAAAATATTTTGTGTGTTGTGTTGGTACTGTTACAAAGTGTATACGAAAATAGTAAGAATATACTAAATGGCAACATTTGAATAAAGTAAAATGATATAAGTCATTTGATATTCCCAAAAATGTTTGTTTTTATCTGTGGCTTTAATTAAAATACATTTTTATTTGAAAAATCATAGAAAAATAATAAAACTCATTTTATATATAACTTATTTCTAGACGCTATAATTTTTGTCAACTATTTTTCTGCCATTGCTCTTTCAACTTAGTTTTGTAATAAAGTACCTAGGTACTACTTCTGTAGTTAAATTATTATTTCATTATTTTTTCGCTATAGGTACCTATCTAACAAAAAAATGAAATAAATTTACCTTTCATTATTTTTTTTTTTTATATGATAAGGGTGACAAACGAGCACACAGTCCACCTGATGGTAAGTGGTTGCTGCGGCCCATAGACATCTACATCTATCCTCTATTACAAATCAAAATGTAGATGCGTTGTCACCCGTGAGGACTAAGATGGAATGCCTCATTTCCAGTAAAAAGGGCCTCCGGCCACCTGCACTCACCAAGCGAAACGCAGAAGTAAACCTCTACTTCACGCTGGTTTCCTGTGAGGTCGTGGTACCACCCCGGTTCGAGCCGGCCCATCCGTGCGACAGCAAAAGCTGCCGCGTGGCTCTACCACTTAGGAAACTTCGGTAACTCAAAAAATGATACATCTGAATCCTTTTAATTGCTCATTAAGCATCCATCGCCGAAACAATTATAGTAGGAACGACGTTTTGCCATTGTAATTTATCAAATAGATAGGTAATATACATATATATTATTCTTAAATTACATTAAAACTTTTTCAACTATTTTATCCTACTATTAAATATACTAAACACTAAACAAAAACTATTTCGACGAGTATTTTATCAAGTATTTACAAAATATTATTTACGTAAAGAGCGTTAAAAAAACTTTAACATTCAATCAATGATGTCGCGGCGGTGTCTTTGACAAAATGCGGCATGTGCCACGGCAGCGCACCACAAAGGCGACCGAATCAAAGCGAACAGACTACAGTGAAAGTGTTAAATTCCATAGAGTGTACTAAATCTGTTTTAATTTTTCAGGGCTGACGCTCCTGTTATGGGCCATCTCTGGGAATATGTAATTTGGTCGGAATTACAGCATGGGTAATTATTTCATGAAAATTATTACATTATACTATTTATATGGGGTATTAATGTAGTTTTCTCATCTGGGTGGGCTGCATACGTATATAAAAGAAAATGATAAATATACTTATAGTAAATTCAAAATATGCATAAATAAATAAAAACCAAAACAGATGGAAGCCCTCGGCAGGGGAAATCAAACGGCCGAGGGTTAGGGGGAAAGGGCAAGAAACGGGCGGGCGATGAGGGCGGTATCGAGGAGCACCGACTTCTGCATTTGAATTGTTATTATTATGTAGGTCGAACAGCTTATAGCTGATATGCATGTATCAGTGTTGGTGCTTTATAATAAGCGAAGTCTACGCTGTCTTGTCCCTGCACCATTTGTCCAGTCGGTTTTTAAAACTATTCACGGAGGAAGCATTATCCACCCCTTGCGGCAACTAGTTCAATATGTTTATGATCTGTTGTGAGTTAATATAAGGTCCCACATTAGTGTGTGAGCGAGTATGAATGTACCATTCCGTAGCCGACCGCAGACAGCAATAGCAGGCGACGTGTTGTCGCGTCGTGTCGCGACGACACGTCGCTGCGGTCTTGATTCCGAACCCGACTGCAGGTGGCAGCAGCACGTGTACCAATCTGTTGCGAAAGTTCTTTGGGTACTCTATTTATGTAAACAAAACATGTACTATATATATATATATATATATATATATATATATATATATATATATATATATATATATATATATATATATATATATATATATATACCTATTTATCGCTTTTATTTAACTCCTTTCCTATATTTTTACAAAAATTTTCTTTTATCACACTGTTTAAATAATTATTGTGAGATGCATCGTACAGTGCGGGATATTGGGCCATCTGGTTTATCAATTTCTCTTCCACGGAATCGGTGAAACTCATTTTTTTTGAGAAAAATTCAACGTGTCACTCGGGCGTTGGCGGCACTACTGATCTGCGGTCGGGCGACATGTCGTCTGCCGCTCCGGCAAACGACGTGTCGCTAGCTACGGAAGGTATTTCATAGAACTACATAGAAACCAGTCGTGTCGCGACGACACCCCGTCTACTGCTGCTGTCTGCGGTCGGCTACGGAATGGTACCTTGAGCAATAAAAACCAATTTCAGCTATATATCCTGAGTCAGATACTAAATGAAATTAGTGAATTTCTTTGACATTTAAGTTAATATTATTGCATTATATTATGGTTGGTGTAGTCGCTAAAATTTTAAAATACAAGTTTATCGATTAAATAAAGGATTGCTTGTATGCAAAATAATAAAAAAGAAATCGATGATCTTGACAAATGTGCATTTTTTTTAGTTTTGGACATTTTAATGCCAAATGTGCTAATTGAGCTTGTTCTACCATTTGAACTCACTAGTTCGAAGTTAGATATTGAAAATAAGTGTCATGAAAACAAGACAAAGACGCCAAAGACAATCTATCAATGATATATTTTACAAAATGTAATATGCCTTAATACGTTTCTCTTCTATTATTATGATGAAAATTATATTATTATTTGTGGCCATAAAAATCCATCAACAGTTTTAATCTTAATCAAAATAAGTTATTTTTAAAATATTAAATTTTTACTGGAGGACGTAATTGAAAGAGACCTTGTTTTTAATTGGTAATTGTCATAAGAATGGTTGGCGAATGAAAGCTAAATCTGGCAAACATGTATAAATTGAATTTTATTTCAGTTTTTAAAAGCTAGTGGAATAGGTTACAGTCATTAAGAAGCCGTTTAATTCCGTACTTCATGGCATGTTTGTTTTTTCACAGAAATGCAACAGCGCTCTTAATGAACCGTTTTTTTATTCTATACCGCATTACGTGCCTTTTTCGAGAGTCATAATAAATAGTTTTGCACGCAGACTTGACGACTTCTAGCTACCCGCGCTAGTCGATTCCCGAAAAGGTTTTAGTAACATAGACCAAATACCTACATACTCTTCGGTAAATTGTACAAACGACCGAAGAGTACATCTGACCAAAAAAGATTCAATGTATTGCATATGTGGGCTTTGAAAAAGCCTTCAACTACGTCAATATTTGTGCGTTGCTATAGTCCCTGTAACGGTGACGGTCGGTATGAATTCTATCTATAATTAATATCCTCCCTTTTTCTCACATCTGTAGCTTGACAAAATTGTCAGGACTGAAAAATAAATCACCAGAAATCTCTCACTGTAAGCAATTGAATGATTTTGGTGACTAACGGACACAGTAAACTTATTGTGCAAGTATACCTATCAATTGATGAATGTTTATCACAGCTATACACCAGAGGGCAATACGCACGGCACTATAGACACACCACCTCCACTTCCTATCAGACTGCAATGGGACCTGAACAAGGAAGAGCTTCTGAAAGCAATAGATGTATCATATAATGTAGCACAGACCTTATTAAACGATGTCGACTTACGGATACTAATGTACACACAGTATGGAAAAGGTAAGGCTAATTTAAAATGTAGATGTTTTTACACACATCACTCGATAAACAAAAAATATCATGTTCAACATCATAAGTCCACTGCTAAACATCTATCAACTACATCTGTTAACTAGCGACATCTGGTGAGCAGAAAATTACTAGCCCTCAATAAGCAGACAACCATCCATCACAAAGGCGATTTTATTACTGTCTAAAATATAATTTAATTTAAAGTAAATTGCTTATGTTGTTGTATTAGAGCTTAGTTACTAGTGCTAAGAACTATGCGAACTTAATGTCCCCTACTAATAGACATTACCCACCTCAACAATTTGAATTAGGTTTGAAAACTTTATTGTAAGTATTTATTATATTTTAAAGGTTTCATGAAGAGTTGTCGCGTGTCACCGGACGCCTTTATCCAACTTCTGTTACAACTGTCGTATTACCGAGACGCGGGTCGCTTCTGTCTTACTTACGAAGCCTCCATGACGCGTTTATTCCGTGAAGGGCGCACTGAAACCGTACGCTCTTGTACTGTGGAGAGTACGGCTTGGGTTAAAGCCATGGAGGACCCCAATGCTAGTGTAAGACTACTTTTTTATTAAAGAATTATATATTTGACACTACTCAGTTAAAAAAACTTTTTAAGAGAGGTCAAATCAAACGTTTCTATAGAAATTGTACGAAAATATAGTGATATGAAGTCATATTTTTTTCTGTCTAAATATTTAATAAAGGTTAAACCTCATTTGACTTAAACTGGAAAATTAAACCTTATTCAACTTAAAATGGAATTGAAAAACTTTGCAACTAAAAGTACTTTACTAATAAAAATAGCAAATCCAAATTATATGAAGTAATTTGTTAATGATGGAATTACTTTTTAATTTTATTTATTGCAATTTTCAAAATATAAAGTATTAATTATAATCATTGGCTCTGATCCATTAGAGCCTTTTATGTCACATTGTGTTTTTTTTAAGTGTTATTACTCTTGAATGTTTTTTTTGTATAAATGTTGCACAAAATATACTTACCTAAATTGTTTGACATTTATAAACAAGTAGGTAACCCTATGTATTCGTTTAAAATCTAGTTGCAAGAACGCATGGAGCTGTTTATAAAGGCCTGCAAGCGGCACCAGCTGGGCTATCAGGATGCGATGGCTGGCCGAGGAATCGACCGCCACTTATTCTGTCTCTACGTCGTCTCCAAGTATTTAGAATTGGAATCGCCTTTCCTTCAAGAAGTTTTCAATGAACCTTGGCGGCTTTCTACCAGTCAGACGCCTCATGGTAGGTTCCTTTCAATACAGAATTTTACTTTGAGATTTCTGATAACTTTTAACGTATTTTAATAATTTCCTCAAAACATTAATATTTTTAGGTCAAACCAGCATGTTGGACATGAAGAAATATCCCAAATGTGTTAGCGCTGGCGGAGGTTTCGGTCCGGTGGCTGATGACGGCTACGGCGTCTCCTATATCATTGTTGGAGAAGATACCATATTCTTCCATGTATCTAGCAAGAAGAGTTGCCGTATAACGGTAAGAGATACTCTTAAACAATCACTGTTATTATAAAAAGACAAGTAATAATGCCAATAATAACAATCTTAACATAGTAGTATCTATCTCTTAATAGTTGACGGAGTTATTTTATAATACAATAAATCTATCAATGTATTTAAGAGATATTAAAGTAAAAAAATTACGTTAGTGGCGTAAGATGACCCATCCACTCCTATATCATTCCGGGTGTGTCGTAAGAGATGGCTATAAGAAGTGCTGGATAGATCTAATATCTTTTTGTAAACCGTTGACGGTATACTGATAATATGCAAACCAGTGGACTGCAAGTAACGTCAGAGAAGCTAGACGTCTAGTAGTGTTTTAACAAATCCCTGCCAAATTGTGATTATAGCAACTTTCTAGCTAAGAGAGACTCCATGTACTGCACAAGAGTGTTACAGTCTGATAAAAACAGAACAAAGTATAATTTACAATATGTTACAATATATTTTAACAAATCCCTGCCAAATTGTGATTATAGCAACTTTCTAGCTAAGAGAGACTCCATGTGCTGCACAAGAGTGTTACAGTTTGATAAAAACAGAACAAAGTATAATTTACAATATGTTACAATATATTTTAACAAATCCCTGCCAAAATGTGATTATAGCAACTTTCTAGCTAAGAGAGACTCCATTTGCTGCACAAGAGTGTTACAGTTTGATAAAAACAGAACAAAGTATAATTTACAATATGTTACAATATATTATGTACATCACTACACTATTTCAAAATATTGAAACTTAAGTTCTTTTCAGGCTGTAAATTTGTTCCTTTTTCTGTGATTTTACAGAGCTCCAGTAACTTCGTGAAACAAATTGAAAGATCTCTAAAAGATATTCGAGACCTTTTCACCGAATATAACAAACTCAAAAATAATGGCAAAAATAAAAAATAATTACAATAACAAACATTTTATGTAGTTTTAGAATAGACTAATTCAATTATTTTGTTGTTGTTGTAATTTGTAGTTTTTAAAATTATTTGACTTTTTTTTGTTTAGATTATTAAGCTTTGACTCAATACAGTCGTAAGTATTCTTCATCAAAAGAACACATAAGTAATTATTTGTCAAACCTGTTTTGTATAACCCATACATTAATACTATGGCGCATAAGTTGAATTGTGCCAATGCCTAATACATATAAAATGTCTTTATGTCTATACTAATATCCATTATTACTTAAAATTACCTTTGATCAACTAATTATTATTCCTATTTTTCTATAAATGTTTTTGCTCGAATAAATTATAGAATATTATATATACCTACAGTAAATTATATTGTAAAAGAATTGAATTTTAAAGTCTGCAACAATGATATAAATAAAGTGGATGGTTTAATGTTAATTTTAAGAGAAGGATTGAACAATGGCTGCGGTGACAATTACGAGTTGGAGCCTTGGCAGTAGTTAAGTAATATTTGTAATCAATATCGAGCTTGGTTGTTTGTATTAATATTAAGTAAATAATTTATATATACGCAGATTTTTACTAAATCACATATACACTCAAAAATATTTCAATACTTTTGCTTTTATACGCATTTTATTGTTGTTAACATTAATTATTATGAAATACATAGATCATAACGTAAAAATAAAATATTAAAATTAATGTCTTCAATTTGTTATCTCTTGATGTAATTAAAGAAATTTACTAGATTGATTGATTGGTGATGAGATAGAGCTATTTTACTGCGATGCCATCAAGAATCTACTAGCAGTTCTACTTAAAATTATATAAAATTGCATAATGACAAGCACATGTACTCGAGTTACTTCAAGTTGACAGTGGCATTAATTAGATAGTTTTGCCATCGCATCTCTAAAAATACTAAAAGTGTCAATGCGATAAGTCTACGGCCTATGTTTCGTCGCTAATCGTATGAATGCCACTGTTTGTGTTATTCGAGAAGCGAATAACCATAATTAACCTTTTGCACTTCAACTTTGATTACGTCTGCGAATGATGCTACGATACTAGCGAATATTCTCTTTGGCATACATGTAGCTTTTAATTTTTAAAACCAAATTGTTCTACACCTTCCTAATGTCTTAATTGTAATTTTTGTATTTCTTGTCAATATAAGTCTGAGGTCATAAAGAGACAGGCGATATTTGGGTGACTTATCTACGCCAATAAATGATTTATCTCGATCCATGATAATTTTTTCGAAATCCAGTTAAACTATGGCAATGGTGATGCTACACGCACGGTAATATAGCTCTTACTCCTTTTTAATAATTTTGATATCATTTTTATATATACCTATCAAATACATTTGTTAATTCATTTACAATTTCGTCTATGTGTGAGTTTAATAAATAATTCATTTGTTTATTTTAAAATATAAGACGAGTTACAAGCGGTGCGGAGCCTCCGAGTAGTGTAATATTCACACGCAGGCTATGTAATGTACTGTATAGTCCGCGCAGTACTCTGAGACGACCTTTAAAACTATTTAGCTATTTACTGTAGGAGCGAAGCTGAATCTATGCAGACGCACTGATCTGAACTAGTCTAAATATTTTAAAATAATATGTTGTATTTGTTGTATATTTTATCGAAAGAATTTGTTCAGCATCTTAGTTGATTCACTTTTTCTTGGCAACTAATTTTACTAAATAAGTAATTAAAAGCAACCAACATGAATTTTCCGCGCGTAATATTTCCCGAAATAAATATAATATTACAAATCAGAGAATTTTATATGTTTTATACTTAAAACTATTTGTCTCCTTTTATTTATAGTAAGTATTAAAATAAAATTATTATGTTCTTGACTTACATTTTACACTGTAAATAAATAATTATACAAAATGTTTCAGTGTCTGTTTAATTTTCTTAAAGCCTCTGTTACTAAATTTGTATTTCGAAAATACATCTAGTGATCAAATTATAAGAGGTTTTTAGCATAGTTCTCTTTACTTGACTAGAGATTATGGTCGGAGTCACGCATCGCTTCGCCGCCTTTTTATACCCGAGACAAAGAATAATTAATAGGTATATCTCCGCAAAAATATTTTAATAAATAGCTACTTTTGCTCCGACGTAATAAAGTGCAATTCAGCTTGCACAACTATGAGTGTCTATAATAATAATAATGTTCTTTAGACCGACTTTCCGTCACAGCGGCCAGTGCCTACGGAGACTAGTAATCTGTGCAGGACAGGATTATAATGCACGAGTGTATGAACAACACGGGTGCACTCTCTATTGCCTCACTCTCATAGTCAGATAGAACGGCAATTCGACACAACCGGAAAGAGATCAGGTGCAAGGTAAACAGCTTAACATACTGTCCGTGACACGGGGATATAACACCGCCAAATTCCCGATTCCAGGTTGAAGAGAATTTCGTATCAGAAAAACAAAAACTGATTTTTGACCCAACCCGGGATTTTAATCTGGGACCACATGATCAGTAGTTGCACTTACGACCACTAGGCAAACGGGGCACACACCTATTACCTACAATTATTACGTAGTATGCTTATATTACCCTTGTACTATTAAGTAATTAATATACCTATTATTCTCCTTTTGTGTACAATGACATTTCAAATATACCTATCTAAATCAAAAAACTATTTTACAATGTCTGCATATTACTAAGTACATAGGCGTACTACGTACATTTTAATACGTATCTTGTCGACTAAATATAACTGGTTGATTGATTTGATACAATACATACATATCAAATCTGGAATGACGTAGGATGCGAACAAAAATAACCTAGAACCCACTGAATGTATCCGCCGATGTAGGGTGGGTGTACCAGTGGTTGACTTCAATTGAATAAATTAAGAAATGGCGGGCATTTTTAAGAATTCAATAGTTTTGTTATGTAGCCTAGACTATAACCAATCTTCCGAACATCATTTTTTGCGAAAGTAAACGAAAAATATCGATACCTTGCTCTTTCTCAGACCAGTGTCTCCTCTACTGTCTTTCGGCCACCATTACAGTTATACTTGGACGTCGACATGATAAGTTTAATATTTTAACCCTTAGCACCACACGCTATTTCTGGCCACGCATCTACACACGTGGGGGAGCGTGGTCCCCCAAAAAGAAAAATCATATATCAGTACCAATTTGCATTACTAGACCAGTTTTTTTTTCTACGAAATAAATAAAATACATTTTTTGGATGTTAGAGTATTTATTTATAACTTTAAACTTAAAAATATACATTTCTAGCGTCAAACAAAACAAGTCACAAAAAACACGTTAAATTTTAAGAGTTTACTTTGAAAAGCGATTATGACTTAAAAGTAGAAACAAGAACTAAATCGAGTCTTTTTTGTAGTTACTCATATGTTATGAATTACAAATAATACATAAAAATCTACAAAAATACTTAAACGTCTAAAATCACAAGAGGAATGCACATAGTACTTAGAAAATATCAAAAATCATTCAAGTTTAGGAACCTCATTTCAGTCTCAATATTTTCTATCAAAATAATGTATTTTAGCCCAATTAATACTTTTCCTGACATTTAGCACATACTATTACGTCTACAGAATGATTACGGCACACATTCTTCATACATTTTGAGCACACTCTTGGGGTGTTACTGTCTTTGAGCCGTGGGCACAAATGACAGCGCGATTTCTTTGGTCTCTTATTTTGGCTCGGTCCTTGTGCAGGTTGATCTTCAGGTAGCTCAACACCAACCTTACGGAGAAACTTGTCAATCATATCTTTCAGCTCTTTTGAAAGATTTGTCATAGATCTTCTATTCATAACATGTGGAGTTACTAAAGCGTATGCAAGTTCTTCTAAAAACTTGTAACGGCTCATACGCTTTTGAGGGTTTGAGGCGCAATATAGAACATGACTGTTTACTCCTGATATATTCAACATCGCACAGAATATTGTAGTTGGCCATCTTTGACTTCTCCTGTTGACACTGTAAGCAGCACACTTCTGGTCAAGAGCATCCACGCCACCTTTTGTAGAATTGTAAAATTCAATGATCTCTGGTTTCTTAGTTTCAGGATTCGTTACAGTTTCATGATGCATGGAGGATATGAGCGCAATACTATTGTTCTTTTTCGGTACAAAAGACACAAGTGTTTTATCTTTTTGAAAGCCATAGATTGACGAGAGAGCTGGCCTGCTCCTATGAGGAAGAAACTGCAAAGGAATTTCTCTTTTATTCTTACGAATAGTGCCTACATAAGTTAGACCTTTCTGTTTCAAAGCATCAACCAACTCAATCGATGAGAACCAATTATCACCAGTTACATTTCTGTTAGTTTGGTAAATTGGTTCAGTCAGTGTCAAAACGTTCCTTGTTGGTATCAACAATGTATTAGCTCGAGAAGTTTGCTCTTTTCCTGAATAAATAAAGGCATTGTACAAGTAATGTGTTTTTGCATCACATAAACACATTATTTTCAGCCCATACTTCGCTGGTTTTGATTTCATGTACGTACGGAAAATACATCGACCTCTGAAAGGAACGAGCATTTCATCAACAGTAACGTACTCAGAGCAGCTGTAGTTAGTGATACAATTTTTTATAAACTTGTTAAACAATTCTGATATTAGAGCAAGTCTGTCTGTCTTTTTTCGTTCTTCTCGTGTAAGTTGTTCGTCAAATCGTAGGCATGATAAGATAAACAAAAATCTATTTAGACTCATAACTGTTCTGAAAATAGGTCTACCCCTTGTTTTAGTTGACCATATGCCCCGAGCATCTTCTCTCGCAGATTTGAATATGCCTGTCAAAAACATCAACCCAATAAATGCCAAAATTTCCTCTCTTGTGACATGGTAAGTATAGACTGAGTCAGATGTATAGTTTTCTGAATAATTTGTGATTTTTTCATTAGTATGTTGTAAAATCAATTCAATCATATCTTCAGTAAATATACAAGACCATGCTTCCAATGGAGATATTTCATTTTTGACTTGTGCAGGACCTCTTAGACCAGGTAAATGAATAATAATGTTATGTGCTGGCACTCGTGATCGCGATGGTGGTACTTTCGACCATTTGTACCCTTTTCTGCCATAAAAAGAATTGCTGTTTCGGCTTTGTTCATCGATGTCACTTGAGTCTTCGTTTTCAGAGATATTTTCCGCTTCTTCTTCACTTTCAGTATTGTGATCACTGATTTCAGACTCCGCGTCACTCAAATCCGATGATGCATCAGGAAAAATGTCCTCATTCACGTTTTCATCACAGTCTAAGTCATTCAACAGATCTTGTATCTGCTGGGGATTCAAATTTTTATCCATATTGCGCCACAAACTTAAAAAAATAAATAAATAAATAAGTAAATGAAACAACAAAAAAACTAACGTTATTACACTCGTGGGGGACTAGGCTCCCCCATCGACTCGTACCTCTTGAACTAAGCACAATAGCCAGGCGCGCGTCCACTCCCCGCGAGACCTCGGGCGGCACTGGGATGGGAATACACGAACACTCAACCGCGTTACGTTTCAAACATTTAAAATATTTTCTAAATTGTGAGCGGTGGGGGAGCTTACTCCCCCACGTGTGATGTACCTATTATTTCCTAATTACTGTCATCAAGTTGTATTATTTTAAAAGTTTTGTGTTTATTAAGTACTATGTGGTGTTATGTTTGTTAAATAACGACATTCTCAAGTATTTTTAAAGGTTAACTATTGGAATACACCTTGTACTGAGTTCCTATTGTTGACCAACTGGTTTGCAACTGGTTGCTTATGGTGTTTCTTTTTTTGTTCTTTTTTTTCATAGCGATGCTTTTGTTTGACAATTTAGAGCTTAAAGCCAATTATTAAAATCGTTTTATGCGATGTGCCCCAGTTGTAGACCACTGGTTTACTATTGGTACACAGTAGTAAAAAAGTGTTCCTATGGATGACCACCAGATTAGAGTTTTACTTAACTTTTTTCGTTGTTTAAAATTGAAGATAGGCCCAAAAAGACATTTTTAAATATACAGAGCTAAATTTGCTTAAGTATCTCTATGAAATTCATAAAGGCGCTAAAATAAGGCGAATATGTCGAAAATATCATATCCCTCACCCGACAGTTATAAAAAAAAACTGAAAATGAGACATTCTCAACGGAAAATGGGACCACAACTATCTTGACCCTATAAGAAGAGTTTGTATTATCTAGGTGGATTAACGCTAACGCTAAAAATGATTGTTTATTGGAAACAGTTAGCCAAATAATAAGGGAAGGACCACGCTCTCACAGAATACCAGCGTAGAATAGCAGCTCAACGCTGCTGTGGTTCGTATGGTGAATTTAGAGAACCGGAGACCCTTTTTACTGGAAATTATGCATTCCATCTTAGTCCAAACGGCTGACAACGCGTAATAGAGAACAGATGTAGAGTCTATGGGCCACAGCAACAATTTACCATCAGGTGCACTGTGTGCTCGTTTATCACCCTTATCGTATAAGAAAAAATCCCGCATCCCAACATCAAGGCATATCAGTAGAGACCGAAAAACGGTTCCAAGAGGATGACCTTGCCGCTGCACGCTCTTCCTTTACTTCGTAACAAGACATACCAGAACAGAGAACATTTGTTAATAGCGAAACCACATAATAGATTATAGTACAAATAGCGAATCTCCTCACTGCACTTCTGATGCAGAAGACGTGGTGAGCCGCGCCACGGGGCGTCGATATTCTTCTCCCCAATGACCATTAATTAGCATAATTTACATTGGTCTTGCTGAGCCCAGTCAGAGCGACCCTGCTTCAATCAAACTGAAGCTGACTGTTATATTATTACTTGTATTTCTGTGACAGGTATTAAATTAATTCATTTACAATGTTAAGAAGATACACTTATTATTATTGCACACCTCGAAAAGGCCACGCTACCCGCTCTGATGAAAAAGAAACAAATGGATAAGAGTTATGCCTGTAAGATTTACAGTACTTATTCATTTAAGCGTAATCCTGCAAAAAGGCATTACGCCAAGCCAGTTTCGACCGCATTAAACGCATCGGTACAAAGCTTATCAAACCATTTGGCAGTAGAGCTTTTTGGTCTCTCGCCAAAGCGGTCGATACAAACTTCTGTCGGTCTACACTGCCTCCGATGGTAAAACCAGATGGCTCACTGACGCATGCGCCTAAGGAAAAAGCGGACTTATTTACTTCTCTTTTTGCTTGCGATTCGCGTCTGAATAGTAGCAACAGCGTACCATCTCAATTACCTCACTGCGGTACCTCTATATCAAAGGTCCGTATCACCAACAAGGAGGTACTTAAAACCTTGCGAAGTCTAGACGTGAACAAAGCTAGTGGATCTGATGGTATACCAGCTATAGTTCTAGAGGTCTGTGCACCTCAGTTGTTTCCTGTATTAATGCGCTTGTTCCGCCTCTCATTCAGGACTATAATAGTAATAGTACCCAAATCTTGGAAGCTGGACAATTTGCAGTCTGTGCCTAAAAAAGGTAGCCGTACCGATCCTGACAACTATCGGCCATTTTCAATTACCTCCATACTCTGCAAGATTATGGAGCGTATATTGAACGCTCACCTCATGGCATACCTAGAGCAAAATGATCTCAGTGATCGCCAGTACGGGTTTCGCCGAAATCGATGAACTGGGGACCTTCTAGCATATGCCATTCACATATGGAGCGAAGCCCTCGAGCACAGTGGTGAAGCACTTGCTGTTTCCCTCGATGTTTCCAAGGCCTTATACAGGGTTTGGCACACTAGCCTATTGAGCAACCTTTCAGCGTACGGCTTATCCCCTGGCCTGATTGTCTGGGTGAAGGACTTTACTTTACTAACTGTCCTTGTTTTTGAAGTTTCAAATTTAGGTCTTCAAATAGTCTGTAAGATCGCAGATATGCCAAGTCACATATCCATTTTGGGTCACTTAATTCAGATAGTGGTTTATCTTTTATGTTCATAAAGTCTGCTATCTCATTTCTAAGCTCGTAAAACCGTTTCAACATTTTTCTTTTGCTCAGCCATCTGACTTCACAATAATATATTACGTCGTTATATTTAGCTGATATTTCATCCAAAAGAACGCCTTGAACTGACGATGGTTAAGCCCTCGCGATCGAATAAAGTTGATGGTATTTACTACCACATTCATAACATACTGGAGTCGAATGGACTTAGAACACAAGTTCTCTTGGTGGATAATGAAATGAAGGATTATCAAATCATCTTTTTGTACATTTCATTCAGTTGCTTTTTCATTCAAAATTCCGATGAAACCTTTACGTAAGCCGACCATAGAAGGTGCACCATCAGTGCATACTCCAATTAATTTTGACCATGGCAAGCCAAAACTTGTGAATACCTTTTGAACTTCAATAAAAATATTCTCTCCTAGTGGTTCCTTTTAGCCGCTGTAAAGCAAGCAATTCATCAGTAACAGTGAACTCCTTGTCAACAACTCGAATAAATATAGCCAGTTGAGCTGTGTCAGACAAATCGGTGCTCTCGTCTAATGCTATGGAAAATGATTCAAAACCAGCCATACGGTCAGTCAATGTTCTTTTATATCATTAGCTATAATTTCTATACGTCGAACAACAGTTCGTCTTGACAAACTAATTTTTTCAAATTCATTTTTCTTTTCAGGACACAAAATACAGAAAACTTCTAACATACACTCCTTGATAAATTCTCCTTCGGCAAATGGTTTTAATGCCTTTGCCAATTTTGAGCTTAGTATAAAACTAGCTTTCTCAACATCATCAAGTTGTGCTCTTTGTTTATGAAACATTTGTTGCTGTTTTTCCAAATTTGCGGTAAGCTTTTGGATTTTTTCTGTTCTTAATTGTCCTGTCAGTGAGTGCAGCTTAGCATGCTTGGTTGAGTAATGCCTCTTTATATTGAATTCTTTCATTACTGAAATGGTTTCATTACACAGCAAACAAATAGGCTTACCATTGTGCAAGATAAAAAAAAATTCTTCAATCCATTTTTCTTGAAATCTCTGTATCTACTTTTCGTTTCTTTCCACCAAACATCGTTTTTGTTTACTTTTCGTGCAATAAACTTAATAACTGTACTCGTGGAAAGGGTAGACAATGACCTTCCATGGAAAGTGGCTCGAACCTTGGTCAGAACCGCCGACATCTCAGGAGTACGTGTGCTGAACCTTTGTGATCAGGAACAGATTATAGAAAAAGGCACATTGGTTGGTACTAGTGAGGAAGTGGATTGGTTGCGTCAGTGCCAATATCTATCGACTGGGACCCCCAGCAAGGATGGACAAACTAGAGTGACCACACTTTTAGAAGACTGTCGCAGCGTTCTCTCTCCGAATGAAACGGTCAAAGCGAAGAAGTTGTTACTCAAGTACGCCAATGTTTTCTCGTCAAACGAAGCTGACATAGGAAAGACTGGCTTAGTTCAACACAAAATAAACACAGGACAAGAATTGCCTATTCGTCAGCGGCCAAGAAGATTGCCTGTAGCACGTGAAAAGGAAGTGGAAACCATGATTGAGGGAATGTTGAAGGATGGTGTTATTGAACCTTCATCTAGTCCATGGTGTTCACCTATGGTGCTGGTAAAGAAGAAGGACGGCAGCATGCGGTTTTGTGTTGACTACCGCCGCCTGAACGACGTTACGAAGAAGGACAGCTATCCCTTGCCAAGAATTGATGACACGCTGGACATGCTTACAGGCGTAAAGTGGTTTAGTACGCTGGATCTGAAAAGTGACTAGTCCAAAGTCCAAAGAAGTACTCACTATTCAAACGGCAAGTTAGTTTTTTGGGGTATGTAGTGTCGGAAGAAGGTATCCGCACAGATCCAGAGAAAATTGCCGCTGTCACTTGGAGGAGTGGCCGGTTCCAAAAGACAAGACACAGGTTAGAGCATTTTTGGGTTTGTGCTCTTATTATCGGCGATTTGTGAAGAACTTTGCAGATATAGCCAAACCTCTGCACAAGCTAACCGAGGAGAAGCGACATTTCTGCTGGGATGAAAGTTGCGATATTGCATTCCAGGAGCTCAAGAACAGTCTGTGCAAAACACCTATTTTGGCTTACCCTGATGCGGGCAAGGAATTCATAGTTGACACAGACGCAAGTGATATAGGACTTGGCGGTGTGTTGTCTCAACAGAATGGTGATCAAGAGATTGTGATAGCGTACTTCAGCAAGTCGTTGTCAAAGCCGGAAAGGAACTACTGTGTCACAAGACGGGAATTGCTTGCTGTGGTAAAGTCCTTGCAGCATTTTAGCAAATATCTCCTGGGGCGGAAATTCTACTTACGAACTGACCATGCTGCACTGAAATGGCTATTGCAGTTCAAAATCCGGAAGGACAAGTTGCGAGATGGATTGAACTACTACAGGAATACGACTTTGTGATCGAACAACGCAGCGGGAAATCTAATGGCAATGCAGATGCATTATCAAGAAGACCTTGCCCTGAAGATTGCAAGCATTGTACTAGGCAAGGGGGTAAAGAAGTGGTATCTGCGAGGATATTCAGGACAGACCAGCTCAGCAATGAATGGAAGGACAGCCTAATAATGCACAGCAGGAAGATTCGGACATTAAGCCGACCTAAGTCTAAGTGGAGCGACGTCTCAGCAATGAGTTCGACCACGAAGAGCTTTTGGGCTCAATGGGACAGCTTGCTGATTCAGGATGGAGTCCTGTGCCGTAAATGGGAAAATGGTCGGGGAGACAGGTGTCATTTGCAAATGGTTGTCCCTAAGGCTAAAGTGCCGGATGTTCTACAGCTGTACCATAGTGGTTGTTCAGGAGGCCACCTGGGAGTTAAACGAACTCTCCTGAAGATCCGAGAACGGTTTTACTGGGTCCACTGTCGTGACGATGTCGAGGACTGGTGCCGCAAATGTACAAGTTGTGCGGCTGTAAAGGGACCTCAAATTCGTAGTAGAGGCGCATTGAAATTGTACAATGTTGGTGCACCATGGGAGAGGATAGCCATTGACGTTGCGGGGCCGTTTCCGGAAAGTGAAAGTGGTAACAAGTATTTCATGGTTGTGATGGATTACTTCACTAAGTGGCCAGAAGTCTTCGCCATTCCAAATCAAGAAGCTTCAACTGTTGCAAATAAACTAGTTCATGAAGTCTTCTGTCGTTTTGGAGTAGCTTTAGAGATTCACAGCGATCAAGGAAGGAATTTTGAGTCTCAAATATTCCAGGAAACTTGCCGAGTTATGGGTACTCATAAAACACGAACAACTTCTTACCACCCACAATCTGATGGAATGGTGGAACGATTTAATCAGACATTGGAGAGGTACCTAGCAAAAGTTGTGGAAAAACGGGAACGAGACTGGGACAGGCACATACAACCGTTTTTGTCGTCATATCGAAGCGCTGTTCACGAAATTACATCAGTGACACCAGCTTTCGCAAACTTTGGGAGAGAATTGCGGCTGCCTGCAAACCTGATCACCGGAATACCACCTGATGCCCCACGCAGTATAACCGATTATGCAAATGACTTGCGGAACAAAATGAATGACATTTATGAGCACGTCAGACAGACGGGCCAGCAAACGTCTGAGAAGATGAAAACACGGTATGACCGCAAAATGAACAACAAGGGGTTTGATGAAGGTTCACCAGTGTGGTTACACAATCCAGTTGGCAGCAAAGGGAAATCTCCTAAGCTTCAAGCTAAATGGGACGGACTGTACCGGATTGTCATAAGGATCAATGACGTAACCTACCGGATACAGAAAGGTGCCAGAGGTACCAGATGGACTGGCGCGTTATTATGGGGCCAATAATGCTCGGGACAAGCATGTCTTAGGAGGGGGCAGTGTTGCGCGCCACTATTAATGTCTTGTACATGGCAACACTAGTTACACTAGCGCTCTCTAGTGTCGAGTAAAATAAAGTGTTGCGCGCCACTATTAATGTCTTGTACAGGACAACACTAGTTACACTAGCGCCCTCTAGTGTCGAGTAGCAGAACTAGGAGAGTCGAGATCCTTCCAGAAATTTCGGGACCGATATGTACTCGAACATTCTAGATGTCGCTACAGTAGAAGGTTCTGGAAACTATCTGAGGCCCTATATAAGGCCGGTATAGACCACGACCGGGGCAGTATTGAATTGGCGATACAAGAGAATACTTCGAAGCGAAATAACGGCGAACTGTGTTTTAGTATTAGTGTGATTTTAGATTGTAATTAGTGTTGTGTAATTAAAGTGTCAATTTTGGTAATTCAATCGGCAGTTTTTAATTGTCTCGAACCCCAAGCTCGTAACATAACAAACTATAGTTAGTAACCACTCAAGATGAACACAAAGTCACAAAGCAAGTTGACGGCTCGAGCAGTTCGCTAGGATATCTATCGCTTGTCCAAGTTATCACCTCGGTAGCTCAAATAGTACTGAACTAACGTTCGGGCCATCCACCCACTTATATAGGCAAAATGAAGGAATAATCTGGAATAAACTAGTTTAGAATAATTGAGAAGCAATAAATCTTTTGATGTGTCGCTCTCGCTCGTGAGGCGGCAAACCTCAAAGAATTTGATCGAACAAGCCGAGTCGCGGCGATTATCAAAGTGTGAGGCGGCAAACATCAAATCCGTTGATATCGCCTCACTGTCACTCCCGTGAGTATAAGTTAGGTACTTATGTAATACTTTTTTAATTGGGTTATTTCAAAATGTCTCGCGGGCCGGATCATATCTTACAGCGGGCCGGATCCAGCCCACAGCTGGTTGTTGTCCATATATGGCTTAGGTACATCACTATATTTTGTATGTGACAGTTACCACATGTATAGTAGGGGATTTCCCTTACGTTAAAATATTAACCAAATTAAGAATCGCTTCCATTTTTTGTTTTTATACAAGTGAATTAGTGAATACAATAGTATACGTAACTCGGCAGTATTACATAATATTGGTAAGCATGCGTTTTGTTTGTTTACTTTTCTTCACAGATCGTTTCTCGTCTTTCTTGAAAACAGTTATCAACAGTTTGATACTTGTTTCATAGAACGTATTTGATTGAAAATATCAATAGTTTCTTGTTTATTATGAAGGACGAACATCTTACAGCAAGGCCGGGTCGCTCTAGTCCTAGGAGTTTGTATGGAGATAAAGACTAAAAATATTGAGTTCTTATTTTTCAATTTTTGTGTAATGTAATAAAACAAAAATTAAAAAACGTATGTACTATTTTTATTTAATGACCTTCTTAGGAAATACGACATTTTATTTATCCATCGTACGATCGTTCTTTTAAAATGTCTGGCAACACTGGTGTAGCTTGAACCACAGAATAAATAAAAATAATGGTATATACGTAGAGAGTGGTAGAGAGAGAATAAACTACATAAATACATTGAAGATGTACATAAAATATATTATACATACTCTCTCTACGGGTATATAGCTTATATAGCTTGGCTTGATACATATCTATTTATCTATGACTGTAGACTGAATGTAGCAATTAGCAAACATCAAATTAAAGTGAGTTTTGGCGGGAACTCTACCGGCGGTGGTTTGTTGCTTCTGTATTATTGTTTAAATAATGGTTTGAAGTGGACTTTGATATGTAAAAATGGTGCGATTTTATGTATTAAGTGTCTGCGCATGTGAACTATTAGTGGAAACTGTGAAACAAGTGCTCTGATGGTGATGTGATTCTCAAAATAAGGTGTCTGTCTGCTTAGGCGCCTTGAGATACCATCGCCACCGTCAGCTGTCTGCTGGCTCAAGTTGCCGTCAAAATTTCCCAATGGCTGCACAATGTGACGCATCAACATATTGTGAAGCAGTATACTATGAAGGATAATTATAATATATTGTAACTTCAGGCTCAGAAGGGCTAGATCTCAGAGCCGTAAAGCAAGTTATTAAAAAAATCAAATTAAAGTGAATCTTCGAGTGTATTGCAGAGATCATAGACTAAATAGAGATAGACTAAACTAATATATAAAGATTGTTTCTATCACAGAGTACATCCATCCATTCTATATAGTTTGTGATAAAGATGCAGAGCACAGCATTGTTGGTATTGTTATGTTATTATTAGTATTGTAAATTGTAATAAAAGCGGAGGCAAACTGGTTGACTTAAACACAGTTAAATAGCGATAAAAATACTCAGAATTATGTATACTTTCTCCAGTGAATTTGATCTCTCTATTACTTAAATAAATCAAACTAAAATATGTTCAATAATGTTCATAAGTCTTTATTAAAGGCATGTATCATATTTTGAGAGTTATATTGTACAGACTGTGGGTTGTGTCTACCCTAACGCTGTTTACAAGTGTTGTGGTATTTTGGTGGTATGGATTCTTTATTGCTTTTACTGTTTTCACTCTTGGAATCACCGGTAAGTTATTTACACATATATTTGTTCTAATAATAAAAATCCACGCACTTCACAAAATATACTACCATGTTTTTCTAATTAATTTCATGTTGCTGCCCTAATTTTTCTATAAAATTGTGAATTTCGATTGCCATATGTTAGTGGTTCCCCTCTTCTGTAATTTACTTAAGGTACTTACTTTTGAGTTTGTTAACAAACAATCAGATCGTTCACCTAATGTTCAGCACTATCCTCTACATATAACAACAGTAATATGATGCATATTCCACTACTTCAGTAGGAGTAAGGGAAGATCCAAGTTGCATTGCATTGCACTCATCACTCCGAGACAAGAAGGTGGAATGTCTCATGTGCATGTAATTTAAACTGAACCAAGCAATGTGAATGCACTACTGCCTGGCAAAGTTAGTGTGAGTTTTACTGTTACAAGGCTTAAACAACAATGAAATGCTTACAAAAGGATCAATATTAGGGTGAAAAGTAAAATAGATACCTATTAACCTTTGAATACCAATTTTAAGTGCTTGTATTTGACCCATGTAGTAGCGGTGTAGGAATATCCACTATACCATATCCCCCGCAGGTGACATATGAGGCGACAGAGGGAGACCGAAACAAGAGATTGGCAGCAGCATTTTCCTGATAACATCCAAAGGCGGATTAAAAGCTGATAGCACCCTAGGCTAGAATCTCTTCAGTGCCCCTCTGGTGGCTATATATTATAAATTATAACATTTTTGCAAATAACCTATAATATAATTTATAATGAGTTTAGTTGCAAAATAATAAGGATATGTCACAGGTGGGCATGAATGAAAAATGGTATGATAGTGAGGGTGATGTAGGAGTAATTAAAAAAACAAGGCAGGCTTCATAAGCTCTACATCTTTATAGAAAGTCTAATTTCTAATTTTATTTAATTAACTTACTTATTATTTTATAGTTAAACCTTCCATGTACGCTCCTTTGTAACCTCGTGCCCCTATACATGTGCCAAGTTTGCCTTAAGGATAATCTGCCACTAGTAACTTCTCTAAATATATTTTTTTAAAGTGGCTTTACCGACCAGCCTGCCAACTGTGGCAAGTATGAAATAATCCCCCCTATGAGGCAATCTATAAGGCAGGCCTGTGTTTAGCAATATACTTTTATAGGTTGTAAAGGTAATTTGACTCGTGCACTATATTAATCAGATGTCACCTTCCACACCTGCTACCACATTGTTGTCTTTATGTGGTCAACCTTGCCTTAAAATAAAAATCTGATATCTATGAGGATGAATGAAACAATATATTAGGTAATACATATATAAGAAATAATTAAAATTATACCTATGTACATAGTATTCTTACTCAAGTTTAAATATTTCATAGTTATTAATATTTAAATTGCATTAAAAATACTAAGGCTTTTTACATGGAAATATATTGTATATATACTAAGAAAACAACAGAAAATATGAAAGAAAGATGTTCCTAAATCGGTGACTATATTGAAACACGAAAATTATGGATATATTAAAGCAAAAAGTCATTCTGTGTTTTCACTTGCCACTTTGGCCAATAACTGGTTTATGTAATTATGATATACATATTATTTCTACTTATAATGATTAGATATTTGTGATTTGGAATGTTAATGTAAATGGTTTTGTACCTGATTTCAATTTTTGATACCAATTTCAAAATCTAATTTCAGAAATCGATCTCAGAGCAGCTTGACATAAGTATTGATCAATAGTCCATAATTTAGGTTTTATTAACAAAGCTAAAAATAGGTACTCTTTAGATGTGTTATTTGGATAAAAAGTGTAGGTGCTTTATTTGTTAATGAGTTGGGCAACATTACTTTATCTAGGCTAGGGATTAGCATAAAATTTTTGTTTAAGATAGGGTACCTATATTATTATATATAGTAATTTATGTACTAATTTTTAAGTATATCTATGTTATTTTACAAAATGTAATGCTACAAACATACATATTTTAATAGATGAAAATAATTTTGTTATAAAAGTCCTACTATAAAATAGATTAATATATTGAGGACAATGATATAAAGAATTTTAATATTAAATCGTTTTATTTTAGGAATACTTTATGGTGCACAAGATCTTTTGTTGTATTACCCAAATGACCCTCCAGACTCCAGGGTATTTGTTCTTCAACCCAGTAACTATAAATTACCTTATGAAAGCATCAAAATAAAAAATAAGGATGGTTTCAAAATACATATGTTTCTTATAAAACAAACAACAAATATCAAGCACATCCCAACAATGATATTTTTCCATGGCAATGCGGGCAATATGGGGCAACGGTAAGTAGAACTTGTACACCAAATACAAATAACATAAATCCTCCAACCTGCATGTGTGAGAAATCAATAACAAATTATACATCTATTTTTTTTATTTAAGTTATATTTCATCAGTGGTAGAGCCACGCGGCAGCTTTTGCTGTCGCACGGATAGGCCAGCTCGAACCGGGGTAGTACCACGACCTCATAGAAAACCAGCGTGAAGTAGAGGTTTACCTCTGCGTTTGGCTTGGTGAGTGCAGGTGGCCAGAGGCCCTTTTTACTGGAAATGAGGCATTCCATCTTAGTCCTCACGGGTGACAACACATCTACATTTTGATTTGTAACAGAGGATAGATGTAGATGTCTATGGGCCGCAGCAACCACTTACCATCAGGTGGACTGTGTGCTCGTTTGTCACCCTTATCCTATAAAAAAAAATATTAGAAGTGTCCTTTTGTAATATCAAAATAGTTTGGAAAAATCCAAAATTGCACGCCTCATGATATATATACATGATAAATCGATTACACAGCGTATAAAATCGATATAGGCTGTATGGTACATTTGCCCTTCGTCTATCAAGGGCTAAAGAAGAAAATAAAAGCGCCTTTTTTTTAATAGCAATAAAATTTATAAAACTTGAAAATAATTTTATTTGTATACTAGGCTATTGATATGAAATAGGGATGCAGTTGACGTAATTCTGAAACTAATAAAAAACACGGTCTCTATATGTCAATTTTTTCGGGAGTTATTGTGACCACATACAAAATAAACATCTGGACGTCCACGAATTTTTTTCAAACCGTTTTTTACATTGAGTTATATGTACTACGTACGCAGTACATATAACTCAATGGTTTTTTATATATTTCGTATAAGTGCAATATGGTTATGATAGATGCATTTTAAGACCACAAAATTGCTTGACCTTGACGTGTTGAGAATAATACACTACCTAATAACACTTCGCGTTATGAGGCGTGTAATAACTGCCTTTTATTGAGCTGAGAGGGTATTTGCATAAAAATATTTGATAAAATATAAAACATTAACATTACATTGCGTAAGAAAATATGTTTACTTTATTAAAAAATATCAGGTTCTCATCGGAAAGACTATATATATTTGTGTATGAAATTAAAAAAATACAGACGTAATGTTACATAGAAAATGTGTGAACCAGCCTATAAAGGATGACGCGCGCTGCATACAGGCACTGGTATGTAAATACGTGTATCTCGCGTATGACTGTTATTTTAAACGTCTGTGCGGTTAAAAGAAATAACAAGTGAAATTACAAAAAATTACTACTTTTTTATCACATTCTTGTAATGCCATCCGAATTTGAGTTATATTCAATATTTAAGTTTCCAACTCATCCGGAAGTTAATTTAAAATCAATTACTAATTCCACCTGGAATGTCATAAAATTTAAAATAATACATTTGTTATATAAATATACTTACTAATATTACACTTAAATCTACATTTTTTAAACTTTACAGGTTATCAAATGTATCTGGATTTTATCACAAGTTAAATATCAATATTCTGATGGTTGAATATAGAGGCTATGGACTTTCTGAAGGATCACCATCAGAGCATGGTCTCTACAATGATGCACAAACGGCTCTTGATTATATTTTGCAAAGATCAGATATTGACAGAAGTAAAATTGTTATATTTGGTAGATCTCTAGGTAATATTTCCAATATGAGTTAGAAAATGTTGTGGAATGTTATTTTAATTTTTAAAATGGCGATTTATGTATTGATGTCATATTACTTATAAATATATTAATCTTCTTTTTACCTTTATTCAGATGATCGCCGAATATACTCAAAGATTGGTCGTAACGATGTCCCCAAGTGCCACTATGCACACTATAAATGCCACCAATACTGACCTCGATTAGTTAATTAAGTAAAAACTTAAGGTATTATTGTCGGTAGCCAGTGAAAGACGGTCGAGTCCCATTTTGATTGCCGACCCTAAATAGCGTTTAATGAAACTTTAGTCACTTTCCTACATAATACTCCCTACGTAACTTTCTTCCCATTGTCACCAAGGCTATGTTTGCCAAGTCTCCTCATTTTTTGTCAGCTATTTTGATCTCACCAAAGCATTACGTATTTATGACTTTGTTTCTCGTTTCCGTACTAAACTCTACTATTTGCCAATACAACTTCATCGGAATGCTCATAATTCATCTTCTGCGCTAGCTTCAAACCTTCCTGTACTAACCTTAAAATATGCTATATATAATATTCATGGACGCGTGACATCAGCAGTTTGAAATTAAAATACCACTACACACTAGTAAGTTAATGAACGCGTCTTTTAATGTATAACCTGTTCGTTTGTGGAAGGAAACCCCCTAAGCACACGTGATACACGCACCATTCCTCCCAGTATTTAAAAATACTTGTCAGGAATCATCATCTCGCTAAAATTTAGTTTCGTTTTCGCAATAGCCAATAGCATATTATTGAAGTAGTGCATTTTTGTACTTATGAATGTCTGTATTATATTTTTATGTTTTGTTGTGTTAATATGATTCGTGTTTGTATGTATGAACGTATGTAAGTTATATATTCATTCATTTATGGCAGCCTATCAAACTCCATTGCTGAACATAGGCCATCCCACAAAATGCTTCATAGTTTTTTTTCTTGTTGTTATAATTAGGAATATGCCGGTGCTCATCTCCTGGTTTGTTTCCCTCTGTCGCCTCTATGACACCCTCGGAACCAAATGGGGTAGTAGATATTCTTACACCGCCACTACTTGGTTATATATATATATATATATATATATATATATATGTGAATTAGGTATTACCACAATTTAAAGACCTTACAGTTGAGAAACGCCTTTGATGTCAGACGATGCTGCCGCCCGCGTAGATATTTACGTGGCCGTGGAAATAAAATGATTTTGGATATTATAAAATTATAATACTCATTATCATTTATTAACATTACGTAAATACTTATAAGTTAAAAACGTTTATTGTTGAAGAAGATAATTTTTTATTACTACAAGAAAAAACACATTTACAATTTTTGCACTGCCAAATATTTTTGTGGCACTTTCCTTTTATAGATGTTTTAAGTTTTCGATTGTTAAATTTAATTATGTAGTCTATTCGCATTCGGATAAACAGTTCTATCAAAAAAATGAGGGGAAACATAAGCATGGCCGTCATTTGAATCCAACTTTACTTAGGAACTCAAAACACGCTCGCGCCAACCGCATGTATTGTCTATCAGGCTCAGTGAAGTACGTTAGCTCATGGTCGGCCCGCCCCCCGCCCCGCAGTGACGCCGCTTCCTTCCACAAACGAACAAGTACATTCGTTTCCCAACTGTTATGCCGCCTCCACACGCTTGGTGTTTACCACATACACCATACACGAACAAACCGACCACATTCACCCAACACAAACACGGCATCCACACGCTCGGCGAACGTGCTAGTATTTTCCGGATAGGCAAACATGACGGATGACGAGCTTGGGGCAGCGATTACTTTCGGGTTGACCTATTTTTATTTAAAAATAAGGCAATATGAATTGCTCTCAAGGTTATTGTATTGAAGATTTTGCACACCATAGAATCTCAAATGAATTCTCAATTATCACTGCTATAAATTGTCTTCAGGTTCAAATAAGTTTGGTTTGAACGCTTTTATTCGTATTGCATAACTGATTATTATGTAACACGTGACTCTAAATTAATCTAAAAACAAACTTTTATGAAATTAATGCTTGACCGGGGAATCGAACCCCGAACTTTCGTTCGACATTATTTTGAATCTATTTACTTTTAACATAGATTATCTCTTTATTCGAAGCGCCTTATACAATTTAATAGCAATATTTTCAAAACGCATAATTGTTTATTTTTTATGGAATGAAAATGATAAACTATTTTTAAGCGCTTCGCCAAAACTAATAGTAGTAATGCATATGAGCCGTTTTCTTCATAAAATGTTTATTTTTAACAGCTTACAATAACATTACAAAGTTATTAATGCAGCTAGTCTTAGGTCTTTTCTATGAAAATGTAACGAAATTTTTACTAATCCTAAAGTGTATTTTATAAGTTGGTCAACTATTACTCGTTAACATCTTGATTCTACGTAGCTGTAATAGTTTTCCTTTTAACTGCATTATATAAACTACTATTGGGTATACTTTTCACATGTCGATCTGTTAAGTTAGTGGGGGGGGGGGGGGGGTAACAGTAACACATGACTCTAATGAAAAATAGCACTTTAAAGTTAAATATTTCACCAACTGACCTCAGAATCGAAAAAATGTTGTTGAGAAGACCTATCCAACGATACCCCACATGATAGAATAGACACGTAAAAAAATCATCCTCCATTTACTTGTATGGGAAGTACCCAAAATAAAAATCTTTTTTAAGGTTTTATTTCACAGTTTTCTAGGCGTGGTTAATATTTATAACTGTGCCAAATTACAGATTTGTAGCACCTAGGGTCTGAGCAAAATCGCGGACGGACGGACGGACGGACATGGCGAAACTATAAGGGTTCCTTGTTGTATAACTACGAAAGTCTAAAAACGTTAAAATCAGGATATACTAATCTTATATAACTTTTTCGGATTTTATTTTGGGAATTGATGATCAATGATCCTGCTTTCACACGGGGCTCCTTATAAAAAGAGGTGAAATATTTGTTACCCAATAGAATCATTTATTAGGAGTCAATCACACTATTATTGGGAGATCTCTAGAAAACTTCTACTAACAAAAGATCTACTAACTTTTCGAAGTAGAATTGGTAGTAAACTCAACTTCAGAAATCATATTTACCTCCGAGACAAATTTCGGATTGGTAACATTGGTGTAGAGTATAATAATAATAGCCACTAGTAACTCCTTCCGCCGCCCGCAAGCCGCAAGCTCGCGCGTACTACTGACTGATTGCCAAACGTGTGGATACATCGCAAACACGTTTGTCGAACACCCTTTGATCGGTGCACAAAAACCGACACCAACGCCGATCACTGGCATTCACATACAAACAAAAAAAAACAGGCAAACAACCATCCACACGTTCGTGATTGCTGTTTGGTGTATGCTGTTCCCTGTTGTTTGGCAAGCGTATGGATGAGGCATAAGATCTTTAAACTGTGGTATTACTTTATTATTTAGACTTATTTAGTATAATACTCACCTTACCACTTTTATTCTTTTTGTAAACCTGCCATTCAATTGGTTGTATGTATATTTTGTGTTGTTCATGTATTTTGTGCATGTTTTTGTATGTTGTGCAATAAAGAATAAACAAATAATTCTAGGTGGAGCTATTGCTATAGATTTAGCATCTAGACTGGAAAATAGAAACAAAATATGGGCTGTTATAGTAGAGAATACCTTCACCAGCATACCAGATATGGCACAGATAATCCTGAAGTGGAAATGTTTGACATGGTTACCACAAATTTGTCATAAAAATAAGGTGAGATTGAGGTACAGAGAGCACTATTTTGAGACTTCACATTTAGTGTTCGAGTGTAACAAATAAATATGACATTAATATTTTTAGCTGACTTTAAAAACGCAGGAAGTTTTCAATTCGACTTTATGTATTTTGATTTTTGTTTGTATATACCTATATTATGTCGCCGCTTTGGTGGCAATTTTTCTGCCACCAAGGCGGCGCTGCTTAAGTGAGGTATAATATTTGACAGATTTCATAGCGGGGAAGTTAATTTGTTCGTAAAATATAAAGGTTAATGTTTATTGCTGTATTATTAGCTATATTTTATATTAATTAGATTAAAATAAAAAAAAAATAACCAAGATACAGATATTCATAAAAGTAGAAAATTAAAAAAAACAGTTAAAAATGTGCAAGTAATTAAAGAGCAAACTACTGAGGAATTTTTTTGTATATTAATATAATACTCTAGAAAATGATAAACTTTTATTTAAAACTAACTTCCCAATTAAATGACATTGAGTAACAAAAAACTTTACCTCAGTATCAACTAGATACGATATCTGGTGAGCAGAAAATTATTAGCCCTCACTGTGAACCGATTTAATGATTCCATTTTTAAATAATAAAGTTTTACTTCTTTTGGAAATAAATCCACCCCGAATGGTGGAAAAATAAATCAACCCCCAAGGTTGGCAAAATAAGCCAACCTTGGGGTGGATTTATTTCGTTAGTTTTTAATTCTCTTATATATCTTAGCACTGAACGCGAAGCTTTTACTTTTTATTAAAAATTTACAGCCTTACTCATAAAATCGCCGTCAATTTAAGAAATGCTTAAAGTTCCTCTCTCTCCCTTTACTAAATAACATTAGATATGGTCAGGTATATTAGATATAGTTAATATTTATTTAAGTGAGCGTTAATCAACGATTATATGTAAGGTCGATAGTTCTTACTTGTATTAAAAATCAGTTAGAATCACTTATTAAAAAGTGTACCTGCAACTGTGTCTAAAGGCGTTGCTGCGCCGCTTGCCGGCCACAAGGCTCTAGATTTTGTCAGAGGTTCAAATAAAATAGGAATAGCTACAACAGTTCTGAATAGTTCTTAATGAAAAAACAATAGTTCTGAAATTTATTAATTGCTAGAAAAATATGAAAGATTTATTATTTAAACGGCTCCGTTGCGTCGATTTGTAGTATTTGTATGGCCTACAAATAATTGTTCCGGGTCTGGATGTTTGTCCTTGTGCAATTTATGTTTGTAAACTGCCTCCACGACACAGGAGAAAATCCTAGTGTGGGGGTAACGTTTTTTAAAAAACAAAAAAATTTAGATATTTTCTTTAAATTTCTCGTTTATAAAAATACCCGTGATTATCGAAAATAATACTCCTTAACTACATTCATATTCTTCCCAAGTTGCTAAAAGATCAGAATAGCAAGAACAGTTTGCTCTATTAGGTCGGTTTTTAGCCTGTGAAAAACAATCTGCATCGATTGACAGATTGCTTCTGTGCAGTAAGTACCGACTTTCTCGTTGCTGTATAGTTTGTAGTCTTCGACTGAGTTCTTCAATCCTTTGAGGCTATGTAATGATTGCCGACGACGAACTAGTTATTATATAATCACAAAATTGCTACTTATCCGGTGAATGGGTAATTTTTGGCCTGGTGGTTCATGTTAACCTGCGATAATTTTAGTTGGAAGTTTATTTATTAAAATCTGTAGGCACAAAAATTGCGATGGTTTCCCATCGTCAAGCTTCAGTAAAGTTTTCGGGATTGACATAGTTTTAACGACTGACTGCCTTCAAATTTAAAACCAGAGCTCAAAAATCTCTAACGTCACATGATGTTTCGTATTAGGTCTTCCCACTTTAAATTTCTGTTGTTCAACCTTCAAAATGGATTAATTTGCAGAATATCTATAAATATTAAATAGCATCAAAAAATTAAACTATTTGGCTGATTGAATGGGGCATAAAACTTAAGAATAAATCCATGTTACCTCGTACGCTTAGAATTATCTTAAAACATCGTTTCCGTGGCTTTTTACTATGGATCCAAACTTAGGTATGGATCAGGAATTTATTTCGTATTAATTTCCGTTTATAATTATTTTTAACTTTTCCTTTATTATATTAAAACGAGCGACAATTGTTACGGCTAAAAGTCGTAGTGCGAAAACACCTGGTTTTATTCTGTTACAACTGCCTACTGCTGTTTGCTGCAAATTAAACTTAGGTATTAGTCATGGTACGGGATATGCCAGCATAATAAAAAGTAAACTTACCTGGGTATACTTAGAACCCATGTTTTTTTGACGAATACGAATTAGGCTGATTTTTTTAATTGTTGATAACGTTTTTTTACAGTACATGTCGCTGAAAAAAATAGGGCAAGTCCTTACGCCAACTCTGATTATCTGTGGCTCCGAAGATATGCTCGTTCCGCCGGGTATGGCTAAAGAACTCTATATGAGGTGCGGAGCCATTTATAAGCAGATTGCAGTCATACCAGGCGGCGGCCACGACGACACCTGGACTTGCAGGGACTACTACTCGTCGATACAACAATTCCTGTTGAATGTCCAGCCCTTGCCAGTCGATTTAAATCGATTTTCTGATACAACAAATAAAACTCCCTCCATTGGTCATACTATAGTGCTAACAGTATAATTTTTTTTATTATTAAATAATAAAGTATATCTGACAGTTTTATAGTGATTTCTCAACATTATAAATAATTTTGAAACACTAGTACAAAATGGTGATAAATGTGTGTAGTGTGATTATTCTGTCTTACAAAAATAATGTTTATAGATAAATATGCTAGAACTGAGATTATAATGTGAGGATTGAGGTATAATGAAATTTGTGTTTTCAAATAATTGTGAACCCGACAAATATCATATTATATTACTTATTTTTATTCTGTTTACGTTATATGGCAAAACGGTGTTTTTATTGATAGGTGTCGGTGTCGAATGGAAATATGAAAGATTGCCTTAAGAAAGTGATTAAAACATAGATAGTCAATTCGTCATAGACTTAGAGTGTACACAAGCAAGTGCATAAGAATGATATATTGGTAGGGTATAGTCAAATAATTAATATTTTTGTAGGCACAAAACATTCCATACATAATAATAATAATATAATATGATAAAATAAATAAATCTTGCTATAATATCCAATTAAATGAGTGTAAAAACCGAAAAACTCTGCGAGAAATTAACTAAATTGTAATTTATGACTAAATCTGTAGATATCCTATTTCACATAACAAGATTATGGTCGTATACTTATTACGCGAACATTCATCTTTAAATCTGCCATTGTGATTGACAATTACATGGTTATTAAAATTCATGGTTAGTTACTGTACAATCTATCAATATGCTTTTCCATGTCAAAATATCACCTTCAAATGTGTTGTTTTCTATAAGTTGTCAAAACATATTTACCAAAATTTTGCAAGGATTAAAATAACAATGAACAATGACCTATAGATGTTGAACCCACGGAGTAATACAAAGAGGTGTTGTAATTAGATTTCACTATGTAACAACGCGTGACAATTTGCGGGGTGAGGGGGTGTTAAGCCCCGCCCACGTAATTATTTCCATCTACTGATAAATAGTAAAACTACTCACATCGTTCCATATCGATGTTGCGATGTAGTTTAGCTCCCGATAGATGGCGGCATGTTCACAAAATTCTTATAAAAACTATAAAAATAATATTTTGGCAATTAAAAATTCTTTAGGACTGAATGCAAAACAAATTTCAACACCTTCGTATGATTATTTTATCAATACTGAGCTCTACGTACCTGTATATTTTTAGTTCCCATGGAACAAAGTGTCGTCATCTAGTGTCGAATATATTTAATTATATTTGAAAGCCGTTGCAGAGATTTTTCTAGAACTATTTTAATAAATTAGGTATACAATTACTTACAAATGAAATATCTGGCCATCCATAGTAGAGTAGTTTTACACGATAAAACAAAACACTTCATCCCTTTCTTCTTAATACTACGAATACACACCGATTTGCGATTTTCGACACATAAGCGCAAAGGACGAATGCTGACAGTATACTATCTAAAGCCACGCCCACTGTGATTATGTCAGGACCTAGTTAGAATCACAGTGCACAGTTGCTTAGGCCGTCTCATCTTTGTATTTGCTCCGTGGTTGTACCTATTTATTGTTGTGTATCTACTTAATGAACGTTAATCCCAGTTAACGTAAAATGAACTTTTGGTATTTTAAATTGTTAAAGTTACTATAAAGCTTTGTGAAAGTTTTGTGAGTAATGATTAAGGGAAAAATGAATTTATTTATAAATAATATCCCGCGATATCATTAACTGTAATGAATGGGTTGCTAACCGAACATAATTTAAGTTCTATAGTGACGCACTTGCGTCCATCATTTGTAAACCGAAATTTATGTTGTAACTGTAATTTTATAATAAATATTTTTTTAAACTAAACTAGTTTTCCTTGTTTCCTTTTCCCAAATTTTACTGATACTTAAAGAAGCTCTTTGTTGATAAAAATAGGAACGGTGTGTTATGATGAACCTTTTCATTGAATTTTATTTTTATTACAATACCTAATCTCAACATGGCTATAATGGATCGAAGTAGACTGTATGAAGCAATTTGAAACAATTTACTATTGCAAGTGGACTGTATGACTGACTAATTACTACGCTAGGGGACTGCTCAAAGAAAAGATGGTACTGTAGAACTATACTGTATTCAAGTATTTACAAGGCGGCACTATTAACTATATATATAGAGAGGGGTCTTCACTCTTCTGTGGAGTTTTGATTCTTCTTGATTTCTCTTGCTGTTTCTTCTATTCAAGTGCCGCTGCCGAAATGAACGACTCACAGACCAAAACGCCCTTCTTATATCCCGCAAGAGAGGGTCTCGGTTTGTGAGTAGCGTCGTAAGGCGATGCTGCGCGCTGATTGGTCGGCGACATCGCGTGATTTGCTGCCGGTGTGTGGGGTGCGCGAGGCGCAACGGGGTGTGAAGGGGCGACGGGGCGGCGGCCTCCTTCGCCGTCCGCTACAATGGCATGACCATAGAGGATTGAAATGGCAATCATAAAACCAGTAGGATGTTGCCAAACTAGGGGAAAAAACCAGTTGTATCAAACCTTGACGACTTCTCGTCATTTCATTCGTCTTATCATCTTTAGATACGTATTATTGAGATGTGGTATCTTTTTCATTTAATATCTAAAAGATTTTTCATAAAGGGTCTTCTCTGGTTATACTTTGATGCACTCTAATGCCGGGTTTACACGCTTGCCAAGTCTCGGTAAGCATCCACAAGCACAAGCGTGTAAAGAGGGCGTTTGGCTTAGCTTGCGTGAGATTGTGAACGCTTGTCCCCGATCCGGTCTAACGTCGGTTTTTGGACGCAGATCAAAGGGCGCTTGCAGCAAGCGCTTGCAACGCATTCACACGTTGGTGCGCGTTTAGTAGAAATTGTGATTTCGAGACGAGCGCAAGTTTAGTTCTTTGTTTAAAATGAGTGGCTGCTAGAACGAAGAGAGTTTATCGTTTCTGGAATATTACCAGAGCGAATCATCTATCTGGAACCCCAAAGACGTTAATCATAAAGATAAAAAGAAAGTTGCAGATGCTTGGAGTCGTCTTGTCGAGTTAACGGGAAAGCCAGTAAAAGAATTAAAAGCCAAAAAATTCCTTGTTTTTGTATCACTTTGCTTGTATTTAAAAAAAAAAGTATGTTAAACCAAACGCAATAGCCGACACAAGTTCGGTGTCCGCCATGCTTAGGTGCACACTGACGCATTCACAAGCATGAAAACGACTTCCAAACGCCACACGAGATTTGTGGACGCTTGGGGCTTGAAGACGTTTGCCAAGGCTTGGCAAGCATGGAAAGGCACCATTATATGTCTACAATACTAGGTCTTTACCTATTTGTATGAGAAAATCTGAATGAAATATTTTTAGACTTCATTATTGCAGCATATCAAAAGCCTACAGTTAAACATCTAATTAATCAAAATATTAGATGTTTGAATGTTGTTTTGTTCTTAGTGATGACTAGTTGAGCAACATAAAAGCTCTTTTAAATGAAAGTTAAAAAAATTGCCGCTATTTCTACACAATTTGTACTTTTTAAAACAGAACACATTCTTTCATGGAGAGTTTGATGCTTTTGCTATAGAAGTCTGCTGCACGAGAATCGACAAATGTACAGTTTGTGTTGTCATGAAGAAGCAATATCGAAGAGCAGTTCATCAATGTCAGTTGTTTGAGCATCAGCTTCGCTACTATCATTTGAAATTCTTGACGATAACGGCCAGCAATCACTGTAGCACCAGATGTTTAAAAGCTATAGTGCTGACACCAACATAAAACTTCTTCCAGCTAATCTTTCATTTCGGGTACTGTTTGGCTTGGGCATCTCAATGAAAGCACTGTGATCAACGCTTGCGCTTATTTTATAGGTTCCACTTTTCATCACATGTTACAATTCGACTTAAATTTTTTACCGCATGACCATATCGATCATTACGTGTCGTAAGAGGCGACAGAGGGACTTTATCCAAGAGATGGGCAGCAGCGTATTCCTAGCTACAATTAAATAAAAGAAAAACTGCGGATGCCAATCCACCCTACGACGCAGTTTATGGGGAGGCAATACAGTGAAAGTCACATTTCGAAATTAGTGTTGCAGTTACTTATTCTTTATATATTAGGTCCTTACCTATAAAATTGCCGTTTTTTTTTTCTGAAATAACTTAACGTAATTTTTTCTATATTTTTTTATTTCTATTACTCAAAATAATCACCCATGCAATCGTTGCATCTTTGCTAACGCAGTGGCAGTTTATTGATGCCCTTGACGAAATCAGCTAGACGTGAAACACATTCTTCAAAGGCATTTTGTACTACCTCTCGGGTATTGAATCCCCCCCCCCCTAAAGTTATCCAAATTCTGTAAAAAGTAGAAGTATGTAGGCGCAACGTCTGGTGAGTACGGTGGATGACGGAGAGCTTCCAACCCCAGCTCTTGCAACTTGGAGACCGTCTGTTGTTTAGTATAAGGTCGTGTAGAAGCCGCGGGGATGAGCGATTGACCAAAGCTGTGTTCAGTTCCTCACTGAGCACATCTGCAGTAATGCTCGTCATGTTTGGTAAGAAGCTGTGATAAATCACACCGGCGCTAGACCACCAAACAGTGACAATCACTTTTCTAGGGGTAAGTTTTCGTTTAGGTGCTGAACAAGGATCCAACCAGCTTAATGAGCGCTTGTTATCAAACAGAATCCATTTTACGTCGCAGGTAACAATGCGTTTCAAAATTCCTTCGTTTGTATGCCTAATGCCTATTGAACAGTGCAACTGTGCAAGGCACGTCTCGACGCGCACTTCGCGGTGGCGATCATTGAGTTCGCGGGGCACCCATTTGTCAAGCTTTTTTTCCTTGCCAATTTGACGCAAATGGGCCAATATTACTTTGATGAAACGGGCAAACCAATAACAGGTGGTGCGTTCGTTTGTTGGGATCCGATTTAGTTAAAATTGGAGGTCCCGACCGCTCTACTTTCTAAATTGTCTACAATTTAGGGCAGCGTAATCGCAACGTTACGATTTAGAACGACCAGTCGGCGCCCGCGCTTCGACCAAAGTGGATGTCTTGACTGCGCGTGCGACATTTTTTTGCGATGGCGAGTGAACCGACAGAACTGAGCAGTGGTTCGTGTGGCAGCATGTCCACAGAAAAAGAGGTGTTATTACAAATTATAGACCTGTATAGGGTAAATGCCCTATTTGTATAATAAAAATGATGAAAACTATTTTAAAAAAAGCAATGCGTGAAGAGGGCTTCAAGTTGTTGTTAAATATTTACAAATACAATGACAAGTATTCCTTAACCCAGCATATTCTCTTTTATCTATTTTTAATATCCATTGTTCCCACCACGGCTAAGGCAATTCCTATTTTCTGCTGTTGGTTTTAGTGTGGAATAAATCGGAGATTATTTTCTTCGATCTCTCCGAGATTACCTCTGTACTTAAATTTTATAAAACTTAATTAAAAATATTGTCAGCTCGTGTTCCCTAATCCAGTAGCTTAAAACAAACATAAATATTTTAACTTTCGATAATATAAACAGTATTTTTGCTTATAATTTATATAACTACAACTGTCGCATAGACCAGCGGTCCTCAACCCTAGGGTCGCGACCCCGTGTGGGTTCGCGAAAGATATTTATGGGGTCGCCAAAAAAGTCAAAAAGGTCCTGTATTTATCGAATTTTAATGAAATGAAATGAAATGAAATGAAGATTTATTTGCTTTGAAAAAGGGGTACATTTAGGTGGTTATTATATAGTGTAGATCAGCTTTTTCAGCCATCTATAATAGCATGCAAATATATTTTTTATAGTTAAATTTATCATATTAAATTAAATTAAATTTACAATATAAAATTCAATTAAAATATTTATCGTCATGTCAATGTTTACAAATGAGCAATACCAATACATACAAAATTTAAATATAATTAAGATTAAAATTTAATTAAAAATATATAACTACTGTTGTGTCACATCATGTCAAATTTAGATAGTCATTCACATTATAAAAACAATGCTCATTTAGCCACCTGTAAAAAGCGCCTTTAAATCTACTAAGGGGTAAGTCTTTTATATTTTGGGGTATTTTATTAAATATCAGAATACACATCCAGTAGCAGTTATTTTTAAATCGAGCACTCTTGGGTATAATTTCAGCAACAAGTCTATTGCCATTTCTGGTATTTCGTGTGTAAATCTCTTTCGCTTGTCTGAAATAATACATGTTTTGTTTTACAAACTTTGCAATTTCAAAGATGTACAGGCATGGGAGGGGTAGTATTTTCAGAGATATAAATAACGGCCTGCAAGGCTCATCGGGTGCAGTGCCACATATTGCTCTAATACATTTTTTTTGGGCAATGAATGCCTTTTTTACATCTGTGCTATTACCCCATATAATGAGTTATTTTATTAAGGTTTATGCATAAAATATAACCTCTCTTTACATACACAATTACACAATGTCCTTAAAACGGAGAGAATCGAAAATAATTACGACTGTACGACCTGTCCAGTCCCGCCGGTCACAACCTCACCGCTACTCCGCCCGCGCCCCCACCCCGATCGCTCTTTCTTCGTTCAGTCTGTCTGTTCAGTCAGTTCTATCCGCACGTGCGTACTCATCAAAACACGGAAGATTACTTCTGTAGAAAGTTTTTTTAGAAGATTAGTGTTCTCGTGGATAACCACGCACACGGTAAGTAACTGTGCACTCATACTTAGAAAATAAAGTGAGGCGTCATCGCAGCGCAGCCATATTGGACGCGTGGGTTCAATAACAAAACCAGCGCGAAATATTTTTTACGCTTCACTTATGTATTTTTAGGGTTCCGTTTGAGAAACAAGGAACCCTTATAGTTTCGTCAAGTCATGTTTGTCATTCATACAAACACTATGAAAAACAAAGTTACAACTAACATCCAGTCATATCATTACTTGCTACCACGGAACCCTTCATGGACGAGTCCGACTCGCACTTGGCCACTTTTTTGCTTGTCTATTTGTGCTTCGTTGAAAATAAATTTGAAGTAAATCCTGTTACCACGCGAGCATATGACGAAAAATCTAATATTAATCGTTTGGAATACATTTTTTATTTATTAATACGTATTTATTATTGCAGTTAACAATGGATAAGTGGCTAATAAAACGCACATCTACAGATGCAGGTGGCGGAAGTCCTAATAACGCATCACAAATCAAAAGAATTAAACACGTAGTTCTTGACAGCATTCTACAATGACAACTACTGTTACGAGTAATATAAGTCGTGAGTAGTGTTATTACTATCGATGAAAGCAGAGAAACATCTAGTTCCACTACTATAACTATTAGTCATAACAGCGATGATTGTAGTTCAACAGCCACATCTACCTTACATATCGATACAGAGAGTGACGCTTCAACTTCAACTAAACAAGCAACAGCTATATCGGAGACAACTGGGAAGCGTCAACGCATCTTTAAAGAATCGTACATCCAGTTTGGTTTTAAATGTACAGTGTTGAATTTTGAACAACGTCCACAGTGCGTTGTTTGTTCGGAGGTTTTGGCAAATGAGAGCATGAAGCCGACCAAACTGAAAAGGCACCTAGAAACTAAGCATCCACAGTTAAAAAATAAAGATGAATCTTATTTTAAACGACTTGCCACCAAACTAAAGTCACAGCAGGTTGATTTCCAAAAACACCCAACAGTTAACCAAAAAGCCTTACAAGCATCTTTTGAGGTTTCCTTTTTGATTGACAAAACTAAAAAACCTCACAACATTGGCGAGATGCTCATTTTGCCAGCTGCTGAAAATGGTTTCGATCATGCAAGGAGAAAAGTATGCCAATTTACTGAAAACAATTCCACTATCAAGTGACACTGTTCATCGTCGTATCAATCTACTTGCTGATGATATCAAAATACAACTTATAGATCGCGTGAAAGGGAGTCCCTATTATGCTATTCAGCTGGATGAAAGCACTGATGTAGCTAATGTAGCTCAACTTCTGATATTTATCCGATACCGATATGAAAACGACATATGCGAAGATTTGTTCTTTTGTCAGGGATTAGAAGGAAGAACAACCGGTGAAGCAATTTTTAATGCAGTTAATACCTTTTTTGAACTCCATGACATAAAGTGAGAATATTGTGTATCTGTGTGTACAGACGGCGCAGCTGCATTGACCGGCACAGGATTCAAAGTAAAAGTAACTGAGGTTGCACCTCACGTAGGCTTTGTTCACTGTATGATTCACCGTGAAGCCCTTGCAGCAAAACATTTGCAACCAGATGTAAATAAAGTGTTGGAACAAGTCGTAACAATAATAAATTTTATTAAAGCTCGCGCATTAAACATTCACCTTTTCAAAATAATGTGTCGTGAAATGGGATCAGAATACGAAAATCTACTGTTACATACGGAGGTCAGGTGGTTATCGCGAGGAAAAACACTCTGACGTGTATTTGATCTCAAAGAGGAAATCAGAATATTTCTACTTGAACGGGAATCAAAGCTAGCGGAATATTTTTTGAATGAAAATTGGTTGGCAACAGTTGGCTATCTTTCGGATATTTTTGAAAAACTTAACGATTTAAATCAATCGTTGCAAGGGAAGAGTACAAATGTATTGATTTTAGCTAACAAAATAAAAGCTTTTTATAGGAAAATAAGTTTGTGGATAGACGAAATCAGTGCTGAAAACTACGAGATGTTTGCATGTTTGGAAAAATTTTCTGAAGAAAACAATATAAAGCTCGAAGAATAAATTAAAACCAAAATCATGATGCATCTTACAAACCTTAAGCAAGACTTGGAAATAAGATTCCCAGATACGTCACACGGCGACCAATGGATAATTAATCCATTCACTTGTGATCTTAATACTGTGCAGATGAACTTAAAAGAAAAGGAGCAGCTGATCGATTTAATGTCCGATGAAAGCCTTCGATCTATTTTCAAAACCACGGATCTATCCAAGTTCTGGATAATGACGGAAAAGGAATATCCACTATTATTCAAAACATCTCTGCTGGAATTGCTGCCATTCGCATCTACATACCTTTGCGAGACAGCTTTCTCCACATTAACTGCTATAAAAACAAAATATCGCTCCAAACTTAACGTAGAACCTGATTTGAGGGTGTCTGTTTCTGATAATATATCACCAAGAATTAATATACTGACTGCAAGTGTGCAAGCACAAGGTTCACATTAGATTGTAAGGTTACGTATATGTACCTTCTTTTTTAAATAAAATATTAAAATAATTGCTTGTCTCATTTAATGCCATCATAAATATTACTCGTATGTTAAATGCATATTTTCTAGTTTGCTCTAATATTACTTTCAAAAATAAATAAACTCTTCAATATAAATAATTTACGAAATAAAAACAGCTAATTTCGTTAAAACTAAGTACGTAAGTGTAACGTAAGTTAAAACTGATCTGAATAACCCCCCTAAGAAGCTCCCAATACCATGACCGCGTTGATATGGTGAACCCTTATAAATTACTCCAACTCCTGATCCAGCTTGATGTGTATAATAATTTTCATATGGACATTTATGATGATCACGAAGAGAATTCATTATTATAATTTTCGGAAATGTAGTTTAATACACACGGTTCCAAACTGGAATGGTATTTTTTGTCCTGTACTCGATCTTATAACTATTTCCAACGTATCGAACTCTCTTCGCATAACAGGTAAGTAGTGAGGTTGAGAGAAAACGTGCATTTTATTTGCACCATAAATGTATTTTGTAGGATCTAATGAAATGACTCTTAATAAAGGAGTCATAACATCACCCACAATCTGAGGATCGATAATGTCGCAATATAGAAATAGTTGAGATGGTAACCCTAAGTGTAAATTAGCAGGACACTTTCCAAAATTTCTCTCTAGGAGATTTTTATTTGGTTCATAACCTAGCTGTAAACTTAATTTGGGTGATAATGTTACGGATGTTATATTTTTATCCAATACCGAAATAGACACAAATTTTGTTATTTCATCATAGCGAAATTTCAAGTTCTCTCCGATACCATTTAACACTCTTAAAATATGCTCAACGTTATCATAGTTGGTAGCTGGAATATGTTTTTTGTAGTACACTGTGGATGGTTTATCTTCATTAGGCATTAACATAGATTTTGTAATGTATATAACATTTTCATGGTCTTGAACAGTAAACATGGTACATGGATATTGAAACTCGACAACTCCAACCGACCATTCACCTTCTAATTTTATAGCTTTTGGTAATTTCGTTGAAAAATTTGTGGTCTTGTTATCAGGAAAGTATTCCATTGAACTATTGCTGAGCAAAGTTAAATAGAAACTTTCTTTATTCATATTTCTTTTAAACTAGAAGCTAAAATCCAACTGTTAAATTTATCTGGATAATCTTTCCACTTCACTAATACTTCTTTTCTGTTACCTGAATAACGAGTGTCAATTATTTTATCTATTTTATGTTGTGAGGTGGGGTTGTAAGTGATTTTCTGTAATTCTCTTTCATAAAAAGTACCAATTATTGGTTCATTTTGTAAATCTGTTATTGTATAAACAACCCATGGAGATCTATCAATTATTGAAGATATAATAAATATTTCATCACTCCAATTTGATTCATATCCTTTTTGGAATACATGTTTATATTTAGTTATTCGAACATAATCACCCACATTGAAATTTGGTTTAGGATTTTCTAAAGAAAGTTTTTTTGACCGTCTATCATAAAGATTAGTCCAAACTGTCATAATATTGTTGGAATTTATATCACATGGGCACATCTTAATACTAGAGTGAAAGCTGTGATTATAAGAGTATATTAAATCTTGTAAAACATCTATATAAGTATTATTATGAGTGAAATAACGCCACATTTTCATTTTTAGTGTTCTTTGAAATCGTTCAACAATACTAGCCTTAATGTCAGGATTGTTAGTGGTATAGTAATTAATCTTTTTGGATTTAAAGTATTTTTGTACATCTTTTGAAACAAATTCTGTACCTTTATCGGATTGTATGTGAGTAGGTGTTAAATTACTTTCAGTAAATATACTTTCAAAACATTCTTTAGTTGTTTCTGAGTTTTTCTTTTTCATTGGTCTTGCAAAAGCATATTTACTAAATACATCAATAATACAAAGTATATACTTGAAACCATCATTATATTGAGAATAAGTTCGCATATCACTTAAATCAGCTTGCCACAGTTCATTAATATTTGATAGAATGTACCTATTACGCGGGAATTTTTTTCGAATGGGTTTATGTAATGTGTATGTTTCTTGTGATTTTAACCATTCCTTTACTTGCTTTTTATTCATTTTACCCTTCATGGCTTTTGATAATTTATCAATACTACCAAAACCAGCGGGATTAGATGGATCATAATAAATCCTGTTAATTTCTTCTAGTACGGGGTCCATTTTTCCCACTCAAGTCCTTTACGTATTTTAGTTGTAGACTTTTTATCTCTACTGACCGGTGTAGAAAACTCTTGAACTTCAATCTCAGAGGGTTTGTTCAGATCTTTTGCTTGAAGTTGGTTAATAAACTCACATCTCCTTGGATTTCCAATATAAGTAAGTGGTACTTTAATATCTTTTAATGCTTCAGCAAATCTAACCCACCCTACCGGATCACTTCTTTTTAGGGGTCTTAGTGAATCATTTATTAAATCAACAATATTACTTCCAGGAATTTTTGCACTATCAATTATGACTGTACCTTCATTATCCCAATGTATTTTACTTTTACTTGTTTCAACTAAGTTTAATAATAACTGCCCTTTTTTATGATAAGTTTTTGGTATTAAACTGAGTATTTGAGCTGGTGTGTAAAGTGGATTTTCATCATTTTCTTTACTTTTAATGGATCGATTCTCCTCCAGCAAAGATTCAATATCAACTGAAGTTTTTAGATCTCTATCTTTATTTTTAAAACCAATTTTTGACTCATTTGAATCTTCATTAGATGTATCAGAATAAATTGGTAATTTGAGTGGTTGACGATCCTCTTCGGTAAAATGAAGGTATCTTTGCAGTGTTTGTAAATATAATATCCATTTCTTTCGGTCTTCCGTCTTACTATTCATAATATTTTGCATTTCAATATCTAATCGTAGATAAATTACTATTAACCTTATTTTCTTGTTTTAATTTTTCAATCAATCCAGGTTCGATAAGTATCATTTTCTTTGCATTTTCCATGTTAACTGGCTAGTCCACTCACTAATCCACTCAATATTGCACCTAATATTGTTGGTAAGAAAGCCCCTCCTTTTTGTATAACTATATTTTTTCTTAGTTTATGTTTACACTTACGTACTAGTTTACGGAGTATGTTTTTATGTTTATTCAATTTTTGTTTATCCTGATCTTTAAGAGGTACTTTTCCTTGTAAAACGTTATGAATACACTCACAAATACAGTTAATTTCTTCTTCATCACACGTTTTAAGTAATGCTCTTTGATATTTTGGTTTAAGCGTATGCAAAGCGGTTAGCAAATGTTTATACGTTGTGAGTCGACGATGCATCATTTAGCAATGATTTCAATTGTTTGATTCTTGGTGTATTTAAACTCTTTTGTGGGGACGTAGACTGTACAGAAACCATTAAATGGAAAGACATTTGTCTTGATACGACAAAAATCATTGGTATTCTGTTTTAAATCTACCATTAAATATCCATGCGCCTCTAGAGTTGCATCCCTGTAGGCATTTTCAATGAATTTTGGGTTATCTGGTGATAATTGTCTTGCTAAATATCTTATTTGAGTTTTATCTCGAGGGTTTTTAAAATATATTATATAACTTGAGTTTAAAGATATGTCTCTTTATCCTTTACCCTGATGAAATAAA